CAAATTGAACCAAATATATCCCATAAAATATACATCCGAACCCTGCAAATGGCAGGGTCAGTGATAACAGAGTTCATATAATACTTCCAAGGAAAAATAGTATCTCACAAGTATTCTTATGTGTAGAATGTGAAAATTTAACAGTTTCCGGTAAAAATTATGTGTAAATAGTTTGTATACGGTTTGAAAGAATTCGAACGAAAATGTAGCGTCTCAATTCCAATTGCGTGATAGCGTCACTACACCAGCTACCAGTGTGACTTGGCACAGTATGCGAGTAGGTTGTGTCGTTGTTTTCCTTGGACTCTATGTCCTTATTTTCGTTTTCAGTTTGGTTGCTAGCATGGTTTTGAATATTATTTACCTTAAAGCGTGAGTTATTCTTGGGAGTCTGAATATGTTGGGGATTCTTCGCAACAAGTGGCGTATTTCGGCATGTTTTGTTACTGTTTTCCATTTGCGTTGTCACGTTTGGGCTAGGAGAGGATTTTTTCAGCTTCTAAGAAGGATTGATTTCCATCTTATGGCAGTCCATAAACATATCTAGATCCACCGTAGAGGGAGGAGAGGTTACTTTAGGAGTAAGACTGTAGCTCACAAGTCTTTCGTTTGGTTTCTTTTTCTGTGGAGCTATTTTTGTGAGATTTGAGAGGGGGGAGGCTATGAGTTCTACCGTGTTGGCCGTCGGTTTATCTGTTTTGGTGATTTGCGGTGTATTGCCATTAGGTTTAGTGAAGTGATTGCAAGCACGCCTTTCAATCACTGTCTTATCTGCTACAACTTTCATTTGTTTGTAGCTCGTGTCCTGTAATAGGATACGTTGTGAATTGGTGAATTTCTTAGCCTTTGTCTGTGCTTCAAACTGAAGGCGTATATGGCAGCAGTGGTCGTGCTTACCCTTTTTCACTCTGTGACATTTTGTTTGGGAGTTGGGCATTTTCGCCGCCCTAAGTGCGGTACTTTGAAACTTTTCAACCCCTCATTATCTGGTATATGATAGACTATCACACTTAGTTTAGTATCAAGTCTTTTGATATCCTCTGCTGTGATGAAGTTCATCAGGATGTCTGCCTTGGTTACCAATTCTATGTCAAGTTCGCCAGGGTTAATGGTTCTGGTCAGGATGCTCAGAAGTGTAAGTTCACAGACCTGCAAATTTATGTCCCTTATCTGCGCTGGTAGTTCAGACGTGCTGGCCGTATCTTCTGAACATCCTACATTCCTGCATCCCACATCTCAGTCTTCCACTCTTCTACAGACAGCTCTAGTCGTTCTATTTCTGAAGTAATTGTTGAAGCTGGAGTTAGTATCTGAAGTTTTGTGACACATACATAAGGTGAAGTGAAGGGATCGTTGTCAGGACCAGTTTGTAGAAGCGATGCTACTACTAGTTTTCAGCATGTTTTTGCTGTCATTTCCAGCCACAGTTGATAGTAGTGGCACATCAGCACGACGCCTGCGGAGTATTGGCAAGCTGTGCGCCACACTTCCATATTTTGCGGGAGTTGTGTTGCTCGTTGTTGCAAGTACCTATGCGCCATCAGTCATCAGGTTAACAGGTGACTGTGTTCGTGACTTTTTATATGACTAACTATAACTAATTAGTGAAAGAGTTATCGGTTAAAATTATGGAAGTGGAGAAACACTTGTGTGAGTCTCACAGCAAGAACTGAAATATATAGCTAATCAAGATAAAATGTAACGCAAACGTTGAAGGTACCATTTACAGTTGGGAATACATCAGTAATAAAGGGTGATGAATTTGGAAGAGATAAGTTATTACTATTTGCCGAAGATCATCTGTTCAAACACCTTCGCCTTGAGACATAACACACTATTTTAAGGCCACCAAACGGGCTACGAATAGGAGACATTCTACAGTATTTACTTGTAAACCCGAAGTTTTTATCGTACTTGCATTTCACTTATGATTTAATTCCAGGGATTCGTTCTCCATTTCTTATTACTTTACAGAAAGCAACGCCAGGTCTCGCATCTAGGTAGACTCTGACCTCTTTTAACTGTCGTCCATACGTCAACCTCCGTTGGTTTCTGGTCTCACTGCATCACAAACACAAGATATTGTATTTGTGAATTGTTGTGTTCATGATATTCACACATATGTGCAATCACGTTTTCATAAATCCCGGAGTGTATCTGATGACACATGTAGTTCATGACGTACTAGAGATATGCAGCATGTTTTTTATGATAAAGACTGCTCACACTACCACTCTCAGTTGAATGCGGTGGTCCGAGAGATGATGGTAAGTAGTTATGCGTACCATCCTTTTCCTCATGATCTTCACGTGTCATTTTAACCGGGAAAAATACAATCCCACTCGCCTTCACGAACACACTCTCTGATTGAGTAGCACTTCCAGATGAGACTCCTTACCTCTCCTTAGATTTTACATTGCCTTGCAGGTTTTTAGTAGAGTCATGAGGTAATCAATATCAACCCTCCCCTCTGGGCGGTGGCAGGCTAAACTGAAACTGGGGGAACTCTGTAATACAGACTTCGTCTTACCCAGTGAAGTGTAGAAATTCCAAATTATGCTGTCTGGATTACCTAATGTTCATGTCACATTTAAACAACCCATTGAGCTTTTATTAATGAGGTTGATTCACCATAAAAGTTGTATACAGCTTAGCGGGACAATTCCGTTTAGCCGGCTGCTGGCAGGACCGATCCGTTTTCTCTGAGAATCAATGCCACCGGGAAGCCACTAGTAGCTGGCAGTCAACAGCTAGTCACAATGAATCCCAAAATGGAAGTAGATAAATGTCCAGCCCTTGAACTATGATGTTCCCCCTGATTAAATTCTTGCATTACTTCTGTCATTATCTTTTAGAGTGGTCATTGGGAGTACATACAGACCATTGTAAACTTCAGTAAATCCGAACAGTTTGGAAACTAGAAGGATGGGCAGTACACTGGCAGCAAAGGCTGATGGAATTTATGAACACTAACCACGACGGTAACATGCAGATTCAGGCGCTGCCCCTCTCAAAAGTTCAGTTAATATCACACAGTGAATACCCTACTTGATACTGCAGTGGGTGTTGGCTATGCATTACTTTATGCCGCTGAAGCAGAAGTACATTCCATTAACTCAGGCCAACTTCATGCAGACAAGAAAACTCCAGTTAACTAACTAAAGGATTTGCCCTTTACGGGGTGGAGCATCGACACTAAGCAAAGCCTGCTACGAGTGGCAGATAACCTACTATACACTCTACAGTTGTCCTTGCCACCCCTTGTTTTGGTTCCATATTTAAAAGGGGATAAATAGCCAGGTGTTCAACAAATATATTGGGGCTGATTACCACACGTAATTTTATGGCTACTGCCTACCTGAAGTGTTTCTGAACTCCAGCAGGAGTGCCACGTCTGCAGACAAATCAACTAACTCCTGCAGTCGGTATGGGTACCTGTCTCACGTATATGGACAGGCGTAGAAAACCAGTCGGTGTGCAGAGAAGCCATGGAGCCAATGACAAACTCGAAAACAACTTGGTTATGATCAACTGTCTTAGGAATAAACCTCCTTTACTAAGAGTGTTATCCGGAGGACTACAACCTGATGTGATTGCTATCACTGATGGTTTACTGTCAGGGTGGAAAGCAGTTCTAAGTGGAGTGCCTCAGGGAACTGTACTCGGTCCCCTGCTATTCCTAGTATACGTAAACGAACTGCCGAAAATTCCTACTTCATCTTACCTATTATTTGCGGACGATATTAAGATATGGAACACCGTAAATAGTAACGATGATAGGCTGGTGCTACAAAACGATCTAGATAAGTCAGCTGAATGGACTAACCTCTGGAGTCTGGAAATTCCAAGAAAAGTGCGGTAATGCGCCTCGGTCAGAGGTCCTACATGTCGCACTCCCTGGGAGAAAATGGAACTGCCAGATATTAAGGGACAAAAGGAATTATTATAAGCCATGACTTGAAAACAACGGCCGATTGTAATGGAGCTGCTACTAAGGCTTTTCTAATGCTATGGGCACTTCGAAAGGCTTTCAAATGATTAGACGAGGGTATGCTGCAAGAACTCTATGCAACATGTGTCAGACCTCATCTAGAATACTGCATACAAGTGGTGATTCCATGCTTCAAACAGGAGGCGCATATCCTGGAAAGAGTACAGAGGGTAGGAACCAAATTAATCAGTGGCATTTCACACCTTCCTCTGAAAAGACGATGGAGCACTTGAGTCTCTACCCATTATCATACTGAAGGAAGAAAGGCGACTTGATTTTGGCATGTTGTTTATTAAAGGGTGATTTAGGGATTGACTTTTCACATATTACCTCTCCCTCTAGGATACATTCGCCAGGTCACCAGAAGAAGGTAGTCAAACGGATTTGAAATAAAATACGTGTGGAATTTAGATTCTCACATAAAGTGGTCAACGACTGGAACTCCCTACCTGATTCAGTAGCAACAGCTTGATCGGTGAACGCTTTTAAAGAGAAACTAGATATCTGCAGAGATATATCACAAGGATTAACACGGGTAACAAGAGCTTTCTATCCTTATAATCTGAATCTGAATGTGGTGTAGGTACATGTCGCACATATATGGACAGGCGTAGAAAACCAGTTGGTGTGAAATGAAACCATGGAGACATTTACAAACTCGGAAATAACTTGGTTATGCTCAACTGTCTTACCCGATGATGGGGAATAGCACTGCAAAAGCACCTGGAAAAACACAATTCACAGTTCCTCAACTTGTAGCAATGGAGGAAGTGAAACTTCCCACTCCGGAGATGGGTTGTCCAGAGCTTTGGCGCGTGGTCGATCAACCATACAAGACTTTATTGAATATCAGGAACAGTCACCTTACCAAAAAGAAGAGGGCTCAAAGGAATCAATTTGGTTCAAACTAGCTCGTTTAAGTGATATTGTTCTTCGGCGCTCCTTTTCAATGAATTCGCTCCTTAGGATTTTATATTTCAGTCTTTTTGTAAAAACCAATTCTTGAGTTATGAGGCCACTCCGTAGTCAACCCAGTGACACAGTAAGTAAAAATGACTTTTACCCTTTCTTTTCAAAGCCTTAACTTTCAAACAGGCTGAAGTTCCCAACCATAAATTCTTAAGTATATATGAATGTGTATGTACATATTAATTAGCATGCGTCAGTATATTCCTCAGGTCCAAGTAATAATTTATATAAAGACTTCAGGCTGTTTCTGCCAAGGAAAATAAATTCCGTTTGCTCTGGCTGTTAGAATCAAAAGCTTCGGAGTTTTCGAGCAAGTCTGCAGACTTGATCACTCTGTGCTATCTCTAATATACCCCAGCATGTACTCTGAAAGTACTAAAATCTTTAAAGTGGCTTCAAATTACTATTTATATGGCTGCATGAGGTTATAATGGTTTGGTTTTTCATTTCTTTTTAGGGACATAGCCTCATGACGATGCGTATCACCAGGTCTTCGTTTAAGATGTCTGGAAACAATGAAATTTCTCATGATGCCGACATATCAGATCTAACGTTTCAAAGTCTAGAAAACCGTCTAAATACAGTGAGTGCCTGGGAAATTATTTATTTTGAATATTGCAAATGTATAGCAGCTTGTTTTTATGATATCACTTTAGTTGTAACTATCCTAAGGGTTAAAATGGAATAAAAATGGTAGAGCCTGCAAAAGCCTCACTTTTGCAGAGAAGAGTTATTTCACACAACAATATTTCTATGACCTTAAATATTATTACTGCGATAATATGGTTGAATTTAGGACAAGTTAATTTATCCACATAAAATGAGAATAATAATTTTAATACTTTTCCAGAATCATATGCATACTTTGTCCGCTCTGGTCTTATTTCCAATTCCGCAGATAAAGCTTCGTTCCACGGATTAGGATGTTCTAAACCTGTAAGCCGCAATTCCATTATGGGTAAATTTTTATTTTGATAGAGTCTCACAGTGTTATACAGTAATATTTACTGATGACGTTTCGAGCACAAACTATTGCTCACTGTGAGACTCTATCAAAATAAAAATTTACCCATAATGGAATTACACTCTACCACAGTGCCCAAGTTTTATTCTTATATCACTGTAAGCCGCAAGATTTAATCACTTTGCACTTTAATTTTGTTAATATAATAGTTCCACGTAAGTGCCTAAATCAAAGCTGCAAATTATAAGAAAACCCGCTCATTTGAAGAATGAAAGTTTTCGTGATCATCTGAGGACCTACTTTGGCTCGTGGATGTGACAGAAGTGGCCACTTGCTTATTCAAGTGCTTGCACCAGCCACTCGAAATTGCGTATCTGCGAGGTATTAGCTTAAATATGCAAATCCAGGACGACATATTTCAAGATTTTACTCCCACCGTATCATCGATATGCCTGCTTATCATTTGACATTGAAAAACTTTGCTATCTTGTTCCCTCCATTTGAATACTGTTAGTGATTTAGGGTTGCCTAATGAAGACAGCATGTGAAAATTTCATGAAAATATGGTACACACAATGGTCGGCATTAGTGGTGTCTATTCAGGTGAGGCACAGTAAGTGTACTCTGTGCAAGTAACGACCTATTGTCTCAATGTGTCGATGTTAAAACATTTCCTAGAATTATATATTAGGGCACTGCATAAATATTTTTGGGAGTGTGTTGTTGGGAATAACGCTGAGTTGACAGCTCATTAGGAATCCATTTTAAGGTATATTAATGAAGCTAATTTAGGATGTGGTAGTTTATTATCACTCATTACTAACGGAATCTACGTATATTCAGTTTCACTGACCCTTAAAACGTCTCTAAATTCTATATTGGAATCTAAAATATTTGTAAGAAATATTATCTATTGGTTTACTTAATGAGGTTATCTTTTCGGGTTAGCCTAAGTTTCGTTTGTTTCACTTCAGACAAATCTGATACGTCGTAAACGTCAAACAGTACGTTTCAGGAAGTAACTTGACGAATTCTTGATGACGATGTACATGAAAAGATTATGTCTGGTAAAGTTACAAGCCAGAGTTACATGATTATCATAACCTCATCCAGAGATTCGTGATTTCCAAACACATATACTTGATGTAACTGTTCGTCATCTAACGATGTGTTTTTATTAGCTGACGTTTCTCCTTTTTCCTACCGTATCTACCGCTGAAATATTATAAAAGACATTAAGACTGAAAAACATCCGTAGCACATCTGTGACACTAAAGTTAGTTTTTCATGATGAAATCGCATATATCAGATGGGAGTTTCTTTCATATTCATACAAGTGTAGCCGAAATGGCTAACTAACATTTTTCAACATAGACATTTGCGCAAATGTGCAGCAGTTGAAGTTGCCACACTCCATATAGCATATAAAGGTAGACAAAATTCCAAAGAAACTAATAAACAGAACTGTAGAGAAAAAAAGGATAAGTAAATGGAGAATAATGAGGACATAATGAATCTGGGAGAAAACAAAGAGTGGATGCATCTAAGCCATATCATCAAAAGTCGCCAGACATTGTTAGCATCTCGAGGACCTCAACCCAACAGTCTACATCTCCGTACTTGGCTGGCCTAACCAACAGTCAAAGAATTCATATACTGATATCACGTTTTGATTTCATCACCTTTAACTCTTTTTCAACCTAATCCTATATTAACTAACATTGCTCAACGAAAAAGGCGATGGCTTGGAATAAGTAATAAGTACCCTAGGTAACTCAATCAATGTAGCTTCTCGAACTAATCGACTCACTGTCTCGTATCTAACCCTCTACACCTAGCATCAATAATACCACATAGTTACTTAACGTGGGTGACAGGATGTAAACACCTATGATCAAACACAGCTAGTTTCTTCTAGTGTTCCACTTCCAATGGCCATATCTCGCAGCCATAAAGAAGGATGGTGTGAAATACTGCACAGCATACTGACTACAGGATCGGCTATCTGTCAGTACTATCGAATGTAAGCAATCCTATAGAGACAGTGGTCATGAAATCTCGTAGACATGGAGAAAAAATACGTTAGGACTGCTTTCACCAAAGCGGTTTATACCCTATATTTTCTAGTTAGATATATGTAAGGTTGGTGTTGACAGATACTGCATTGATGTATAAGGTCGTAAATTTAAATATTTAACTAGAAATCTTACCGTACATGTCCTAACTGCTACTTTCATGACTACTCAGGTGACTTACTTTACTTTACTTCGGCTATCTCCTACGGGAAGATGAGCCGGCTTCATGAACATCTCGAATAAGAGAGTTCATGAAGTTTCATGGGAATTTGGTACGAGTGATGTCCCCAGAATCGCTCGGCCTTTTGTTTGAGAGTGCAGCTCTAGCCTTTACACAACCAAGTGTGACCTACAAGGCAGTAGGAGTGGAGTAGGGAGTCCACTATCCATTGGCAGCCGGTGACCGGAGTTCGGTTCATACGCCTTTTTGAATGGGGCCAGACATCCAGGACATCCAACAAACCCTTTGTCCATACGTCTGCCGGTGAGCTCCAGTGAGCTTCATACTCCAGTCGTTGGAGGTTTGGAATCAGGGTTTAGCCATCTCCCCAAGACTGTCATCCAACGGACAGTCAACCCGGTGAAGAGCGCCGGGCATCCGCTTTCGCCCTCTCACTTTGGTGAAAAACACCTCCGCCACGTGAAGGCAGTGTGAGCAAACATTTTGATAGTTTCCAGTGGTTGGTTTCGAAGGGTGAGTGCAGATATAAAATCCTGTCAACCTTGTAAGAGCATTTTCTAATTTGATTGTGCAAAGCGAATATTATACCCACAAATAGTGTTATCGAAGTTATGTGCAATTTGAATATCAACCACATACAACTCGTTTAATTTTAGAGATGTCTAAGAAATGTAACCGATTGTATGGTTAGATAAAAGTGTAAAGTATAGCAGTTTAATGCTCTGAATCCTACTCAACAATTTATATTATTTAACAACCACATTCATTTGAATATGCTAGACAGTGAACTACTTCAATATTTGTGAGGAGCAGTGCTACTAGCTGTCTGTCCAATCCTCAGTATGCGGTGTGGAATTCTAACCCTCAGCTCACTGATTAAAATTTGAGTACCTCATTGGAGGAACCATAAACTCACTGTAAGTTACCTGGCTGAAGTACTTGTGATGCCAATAGAATTTACACAAAACGTCTTCGTTATATCCCTGAAAATTGTTTATGATAGTGTTGTCGTATTTACTTTTTCACTTTCCATATTCCTAAATCTTTAGTAACCTTTACTTACACATTCTGTCAGCTGTAGCTCTGGCTGTGGTATTTGACTTTCAGCCAGTAAGTCTTGAGTTCGAATGTTTCTTCATATATGACTACAACTGACTACTATAATTGGTTTTCACATAATAAGTGTATGTGACTGAGTTCTTTCATGGTCTCCCACTATAATATGATTCTATTTTGCATCTGTCGCAAGCTAGTTGGAAATGTTCTATTTTGAACTTATGTGGTGTTATAGAGTTCTGTGTGGGCGCCTATTTCTGAACAAGTTTTCAGTTAGCAGTCTCACTAAGTGACTTTGTCCGCCAAACTGTATACTACTGCTTTTTGACTGTTAGTCTGAAACAATTGTGACAGCTCATAGGCAGCTGATGAGCAAAAGACTGATGATCTATGCATCTACTACTTGAAAACCGGCACAAATCGTGCAAATAAGTTATTTGCGCACTTCATCAACCCTACAAAGCATAATGATGACTGATATTTAAGGTCCAATCGACAATATATTTGAACCTTGACAATTGTCATCTATAAACAGAAAATTCCGATACTGACTCATAAGAAGAAGATTCTTTTTATGGATTGATGTAATGAATATTTCATTCTAGAATGATGGAATGATTTCAGTTTCATCTATTTACTCGACCAACTTAGTTTCGTTTTCATGAGTAAGAAGCTGTTGAATTCATTTACCGCGATTGAATATCTTATGGATTTTCTGTAATTAGAGGTCTTTACGAACCTGTGTTTGTTTGGATCAGCGAGTGACTGCAGACAAGTTTAGAGCTGTGCCCAAGGATTCATTAGTTCAAGTTGCTATAATCTGACGAAGCAACGGAAATGTAACGATACTACATTGAAAAAAGATATATGTGGGAGAGAGTGACCTAATGAAGAGTTGCGATTTTCGGAATTCAGAAAATGACAACGGGTGAAAACATCTGCGCGTCCTTGAATAGTTGTGACTTATTTCAACAATTGTGTCCAACCATTTTCTTAGCATCTTGAGGACACCAACCATTAACTCTTGTTAACTAGTCATCAAGTACAAGACAGTAATATGAAAGTGACTACTTCATTAGTTTTAAAAAACTATTCATGTATGAAGATTGTTAATCAGGACATTACCTATCTCATAGACTTTTTTGATGCTGTTTTTCCAGCTGTCAGTAGCTGGGATGAAATGGAGCAACTACTATAACTACCGCTGTCTTCATCTCACTAGTGTTTTGAAACCACCTAGCCACGATACTGTTGTGTAAACGTGTGGACTTATGAGTGACGAACTTACACAAAACCAGTGTATGCAAAAGGTCGCATGAATTTTATAGAAGTCCAGTTTTTATTAGTAGGATTCGGATCCAGATTCTATGTGAGATCTCACACAGCAGTACTTCTTTGCTAAATTGTGTTTAGCGGCCAAAATTGACACGACTAAACACTGATGAATAGGTGATTGGAATAAAGATAAAGTTAGTGGAATAACACTGGCTGTATGAAAATACAACTGATTTATAGAAAATATCATGCAGTCAACTTGATCAGTCCGGAAATTAGACCAGTTCTCTGAAACTTTCACCATAATTATTATTCCATTACTGAATAAATGTTCATCGTAAAATATCGCACCAGTGTGCAACGATTCAAGTTGTTACACTTCTGAAGTTCACATAAATGTAGAAAAGAGAAGTGCAAAGAAATTGTAATAAACGGAAATGTATGGAGACAAAGAATATTTTCATGTAGAATACTGAGGATATAATGAATTCTTGAGATCATAAGGAGGGAATGCATATACCTCATTAAGAATAATTCTGAGACATGTTACTATCATTCTTCAACAATCGGATCTAAGCGTTTTAGGGACCCCAACCAGGCAGTTAATACCTGCTTACTTGAATTCTTATTTCATGATATGTATCAGTTCAAACAGTTAACCTCACTGTCAATAATAAAATTTTGTTCAAGTTTGAGTCGCTGATGTTTGGTTCAATAGTTTTTTTAAGTGATCATATGCAAACATATTTAACTTTGCAGTCAATTTTGTTATTTAATATTTCTGTACCAGTCTAGCATACATATTAGTCCTAAATCTTCACCAAGTGTCGAGGTCCATCAGTCACTCCTTAACTCAAGGAAACGTGGACGCCCAGCTAAAGAAAAGTTGGAAAACTTAGGTAAGTATATTTCTCCTCAACTTAATGTTCAAACTCTTGTTTTTTTTGATTGCACACTAGTCAGTAACTAGTGTAATGTGTCTAGTCCTATTTTCGGTGCAGACTGAATTCTATCAGTCATGTTTGCAATGTGGCCACCATGCTAGGTGGCTCGCCATTACGGTGCCATTGCAAACATGACTGATAGAATTCAGTCTGCACCGAAAATAGGACTAGACACATTACACTAGTTACTGACTAGTGTACAATCAAAAATATCCAATACAGTCCTACAGGAGGTCAGTCGCGAGCCTGAATAGCTCAGTGGTAACGTCTCTGACTGCAGCACTGGGTGACGCGGGTTCGAATCTCACAAGGGACATCAGTTCCTTCAAGGTTGCAGATACGCCTTGCTGATGAGTGCCAACTAGCACGAAACCTAGGTCCAAGGCTTCCTGCCGATTGCCTCCAACCATCTAATACCAACAAACTCTTGTTTTTGTTAATCAAGTTGTGATCATTCATTTCTGTTTTGTTAGCTTTTTTAAGTGAGCTTTTGGATTATTAAATTATAAAACTCAAAGTAATTAAATGGTAAATTAAGACAGTAAAACAAATCTTCACTTGTCTAATGTGTTTCATCTCTTAACCGTTCACGTTTATAATTTCTGAAATGTAGACTAGAAGTAGTAACACATTGATGGGTGTGACTTAACAGTGCTACACTATAAACTACCTTCTCACTTCTAAACTTATAGGTGGTATATAACAATTGCATTTACTATCACAGTACGAAGATGTACAGAAAAGAATCTGGTTATAACAAAGTTTGGAGTATACCTGAATATAATCAGCATTTTTACATTTGATGGCATAGTGAAAGTAATGGGGGGGGGTACTTTTAAAATGTCACTTCTTTGTATATAGTGACCGAAAGTGGTTGAGAAATTGAGAAAACATCAGGTTATACTGTAACAACATAAGGAAGCGTACGTTATTCCAGCTTGAGTATTGCCCTTAAACTGACTCTAACTGCATGAATGCGGTATTGTAATTTATGAGATCGTCCCATACGAAAGTCAGTGACAGTCCTGCTGCAATATCTGTTGAGCGAGACAAAATAAAGAGGTAATGACAAATTTTCTGGAGCATTGTTCATTTCTGTGTTCAACTGTTGTCCCTTAAATTATCAGTGTTGTTAATTTAGTTTATGTACGCTATTTATAATCGATAATATAATCACTTAGTATTCTATTGAAGAATGGTGGTGATATAGGTATCCTTATTAATTCCTTGTGAAACCGACAAAAAGGCATTTTTACCACAAACAGACGTTAGGATTCAAGGGACATTCCGAAGCGACTATTTTCCTATTGGTCGTCTGCTCACCGACGCAAACTGACTATTGCTATTCAATATAGAAAATATCCCCATTTAGACATTTGGAAAACACAAAAGATTGAGCGAAGAAATATTTACTTTTCAATTAGATCCTCTTCTCTGGCTCTACTCTAATATATATAGCATTTTTACAATACACAACAATTTACCAAACAAGTGGTGATATGTTTGTTAACAATATTTAAACAGTGTCAAAATGCCAATGGGTAGATAATTAACGCAGAAAATCAATACACATTTAAAAAGTAGAAATGGATAGAATAAATTAATTTTACAAGAATAACACGTAATTAAAGATGAAGTGGTCAAAATAAAATAAAAGTAAAATAAATTAATTTGGACAATTATAATTTAATAGGGGGAGGGGGGCGACGTAGTCCTGCCTTGTAACGATGGCCACGGTAAGCAAAGTGGCTGTACAAATTTCTTCTGTACACATAGGCTTCTTCTGGTGGATTCCAATTACTTCTGCTGTCTGTAGAAGACGAACTCTTAGAGCAAAGTTAAGATTAGTCGGAATGCGATAAATAATTTTGAATGCAGTATTCACATCAACCTTGTGCTCAGTATCAACAAGGTGTGCTAAAACAGAACTACGAATAGATTTTGTTTGTCCCTTGCTTAACCACGCTGGATGATGTTCAGAAATACGACGATGAAACTGCCTGATTGTACGCCCAATGTAGCTGGCTCTGCAGCTGCAGTCAAACTGGTAGACACACATAAAAGAGGCAAAATTAGGTAGTTTGTCCTTATTTCTCCAACATAGAATAGGGGTGGTTTTGAAGAGACAACGTACTTCTGCTGCATAATAAGCTCTTTTAACTGCATTCTTCAAGCGCTGTGTTATAATTTCACTGATGTTGTCACCGAGGAACTGCAATTTTATGAACATTGGCTTTTTCGAAACTGTAGCAATACTGACTCTCTTTGGTGCTGAATTCATATTCTTCTCAATAAATTTATCTGGGTAACCATTTTTTCTAAGTAATTCTTTAATAATCTTAAGCTCCTTATTGAGGCAGTCGTCTGAACATATTAACTTAGCTCTATGAACCAGACACTTTATCAGGTTACGTTTATATTTCAAAGGTACAAAACTCAAAAAAATGGGTGTACTGATCTGTTGTTGTAGGTTTCCTATACACACTCCTTCTTAGTGTGCCATCATCTTTCCTTGCCATGAAGACGTCTAGGAATGAGATACTATCATTACTTTCTTTCTCTATGGTAAAGTTTATTGCTGAATGTGCATCATTAAACTTGTCAAGGATATTCATTGCATCATTCTCATCTTTCATAACCACAAATGTGTCATCCATATATCGACAGTAGAAATCCATGTCATTAATTACTCCTTTCAGTGGTCCATTCTCTAATTTAGCGAGGAAAAAATCAGCTAGGATTGGACCTAATGGGGAACCCATAGCTACACCATCAATTTGCCTGTAATATTCCTTATTGAATAAGAAATGAACATTCATCTAGTGGTCTTCAACATTCTCCAATTCAGATCATAGTGAAGCTGCCATTCAGGTGCTCACAAATGTAAAAGCGTTATGTTAATTTCCCACTCATTAGCGATTAACTTTAAAATATTTCTCAAAGTGTCGAAGAAAAATTGTCTGATAAATCAAGACAAATCCACGAACCCAGTCTCTAACTAAATTGAACAGTGCATTTTTATATAGAAAATCCAGTCAAATTTGGGAAATACGGGTTATTAGGTATTGTTCCAGTGACTGGATACTGGTTTGCGTACGATAAAATTATCTGGTTACTGTTAATCCAATCTTGCATGGGGTCGTGGATGTACATTACTGATATGAGTAATAAACTGGAGCGAAATAGACGTTTACTACTCTCTCTTGATGGTCATCTAATTGGTGTCAATTCTTAACTAAAACTCACTTTGAGAATAACTTGTTTTGTGTTGAAAAATTAAATTGTGATTTAACTTGCTTATTCTGTCTGTCTATCCTTGTAATAATAACATTTTGTATTTGACCTCAGTTGATTCCAGTGAAAACCCTGAAAATCTCTCACTTAATAGATTAAATGTTAGTGTAGCAAAAATCCCACCTGATGAATGTGAAAGTTATTACAAGGAACAAACGTTTAACAAACCTTCAAACTGTAGTAGTTCAGATGACTCTGTCGTACATTATGTGCGTAAATTACGCCCCCGTCGATCAGGATCAAATTATTGTTCTACTGAAAGAAGATCTTTACATCGAAGCAGTAAATTTCGACGCGTTCGTTGTGAAGTTAGCATTTCAAATAATAACAATACATCACAGGGCAGTTATTCAACAGATGGCAAATCCTATCCGAACTCTGTTACCTTTCGTGATGACCATAATGATGCTATTTTAGAAGATGAAGATGATGAAGATCAGGGGGATAACGATGAACAACGAACAAGACGGTATCCAGTACGTAATCGTAGAAATACTACTGTTTATCAAGGTAAGAGGTGTTTTAGTTTTCATGTCTATTTTTCACTGGTGTTTGAAGTAAACGTGTTAAAGTTTCGGCGTTGAACCATATAATGCTAGCCATTAAACTCTGGAGCATGTGTTAACTAAGAAACTTAGCATAAATAATCAGGCATATTGAATTTGGTTATAAGATTCTATTATCACACTCACCTTACATGCGTATTACTTTCAAATTCTGCATTCAGCCAGTGGATGCCAACTTTGGTGTTAAAACTGGTTTTGTTTATCAAACTGAATCATATTGAATATGATGATTGCCTTTAGTCCTACTATAACAGTAAGGTCGAACAGATAAATATGTGTTACTAAAAGCAGTTGTCATTATTATGCTATGGGTTTGAGAGTAAATGTCTACTCCTTAACCGTTATGGTGGCATTGAAGCTTTTTCTGGGAAATTCAGTAATTTACTTCTCTTACCACTGTGTGAATGAAGGATATAAAAGGACAGTTTCCACAAACTGTCCCGTCTTTTTTTCTTACTGCTTTCCGTAACTGGCGTTAAGGTTTTCTACTTATAGAAGCAGTTCTACTTAATCCAATATCCCTCACTAGTCATGTGTGACCAGTTTTAAACTACTTGAAATCTCGGTTTCAGAGTTATCCAGTCGGTTATTTTTGATGTGATTAGGGGCAATGAGTTGTGGTCATATTGTTGCTGAGTAAATAGTACTGTTTTATTTTATGAAATAATTAAACAAGCAAACTAATGTGGATTATTCTAAACACATCCTAATTTAAATACTTAACTTCGTGTGAATTTCTTTGAAATTGTAACACTTTGCAGTTGAAAATCCTCAAAACAATCATCACAACAATCCGCCTCAACAACAGCGGAACTGGATGGCTGGTACTGGATATGATAAACATAAACGATCGCGTCGGTTTAAATCAAAGTGAGTGAAACTTTTTTTCATTGCATTATTTGTGTTAATTAATAATAATAATAATCATAATAATAGTAATAATAATAATTTACTTTATTCCAAAAACAGTACTTGTGATACAGAATGGGATTTTCAGCATTAATCACAATATTGCATCTAATTTCCTCAAATTATAAATAAAATTAATCACACAGAAAATTTTTCTACATTTACAATAGGGTTAATATAAAAAAAACAAAAAAAACATGCAGAATATAAAATGGAAATAATAATAATGATAGCAGCTAAGGTAATGATAATAATACAAGTGGAAATTGCCGTGGGCTTGTTTCACACAGTATTATCGATGCGGTATACAAATCCTTGCATGATTAAAAATATTGAATATGATGTTCTCTTTACATGATATGGTGAGGGAAAAAACAAAGATTACAGCAGTCATAGAGATAAGTTGGTGTTTGCAGTTATGAAAGTGAAAACAAAGAATCAACAGGACCATAAATATAATAGAAATAATAAAAGTAAAACTTGAAGGTATATAGAGATGGATGGAGGAGATTGTTTATTTACTAGATGAAAAAAGGTTAGTCAATTCTTGCCTGACACTATTTTCATCACATAAAATACGTGCCAAGTATGGTATCATAGAATTTTTATACTTAGACGTGCGAGCATACAGTTTTCTGAAGTTACTTCTTGTTCTACCTGAGGAGATGCAAGGTAAAAGCTGAGGGTGAAGTGGATGCTCCAAGTCAGACAAAATCCCTTTAGCAAATTTACTGCACGAAGTCAAATGCCTATCGACAACGACGTTAACTATGTAATCCACTGGGACACCACTCATTCTACTGACAGTCTTCAGCATTCTACGAATTGTGATAAAGTCCTTTTTAAGCAAACCAGGAAAGAATAAGGGTGAACAATAAAGAAGAATAGGTAGGATGCAAGAGTTTATGAACTGTAAGAGGAGGGGTTGAGTTATACCCGAGTGCCTTAACTTCTTAATGTAAAATGTCAGGCGGAATATTTTACTGGAGATCGCTGAGACATGGGAAGACCAGGAGAGATCAGAAGAGAGAATAAGTCCAAGATACTTAATTTCTGATTTAATTCCCATATTATTGTCATCAATCTTACAACTGTTATGAGAATCGACGGCTTCTTTTAACTGTCGTTTACATCTTAAGCTGAAATTAACAGTTTGACATTTAGAAGGATTCAGTTTAAGACCATTAGACTCAGACCATTTACTGACTCCCGACAGAAAGCTATTTATTTTGGTGCAATCTAGCTGGGAGTTAACAGCCATTGAAACAGTTAAATCATCAGCGTACTTCACAAAGTTTATTTCATCAGACTGAGGCAAGTCATGTAAGAAGAAAGAAAAAAGAAAAGGAGAAAGGACAGTGCCTTGAGGGACACCAGCTTCAGTAGGCAATGAAGTGGAAGACTTCCCTTTATACACGGTGTACTGCTTTCTTTCTGAGAAATAAGAGTGTAACCAGTTAACAGCCCAACATTCTGTTTGACTTGCAGCAAGTTTATTTAATAAGATGTCCCGAGGAACCGAGTCAAAAGCAGATGTATAGTCTAGGAAGGCACAACGAACAAATTTAGCCCCTTTGTCTAGACTGGAAGCAATGTTATGATATAAGACGGCAGCTGCATCTAAAGTGCTTCTACTGTGCTTATAGGCAAACTGTTTTGGGTCATTAAAAGATTTAAGAGAGGGTACAAGACTAAGTAAAAGTAGTTTCTCCATAGTTTTCAAAAAAGGAGAGGTAATAGCAATGGGTCTAAATTTCACACATACTCCAGTAGTTTCGAAATCCCCATTATTTGTTAAAACAAAAGACAGTCAGCGATTAGTAACTCTTTTGGTAACTCACTCTCAAGCTGTAAAATCTCATATATATATATATATATATATATATATATATATATGTATATATGTATATATGACTTTAATGCTTGCTGTGCAAGCATTAAAGTCAAACTCTATTGATTCCCTGCACTCATCTTCTTGTCTTCCTTGTGTGCTATTTGGAACGTGGCAACTCGAACTGCTGCACTTCGGTGCCAAGTTCTATGTTGAATCCAGACAGACAGACAGAGAATGCTTGCACATGAGGAATGTATCTCGATCAGTTGACTTGTAACTGACTAATCAATTGAGTCCGTAACCGTTTCTCTGTAAATTTTGTTTAAAACAATTTCTACCTTTAGATACCGCAAAAATTTGGATCATCGTGGTTCTAGTACATCCTCTTCTTCTAGTGATTCGGATGGATCATTATGTGTTCGCAGTTCTATTCGTCGTGGATGGGATCGTTTATACTACTCTGCCAAAGAGAATAATGGTCCTGTTACTGCTGTTGATGATGATGAAAAACGTTTTGAACGTCGTGTTAATAAAAGCATTATGCACGCCAGGTCGGAATTAATGCCAATTAACAAACATCAGCTTGGTTTTAGGGTAAGTTATACTATATACACTTGATGTAATGCGTATTTCTCAGTATAATACGGCTGTACCACGTAAAATATTTCTGTACGTCATGTGGCATTAACAGATAATCAAGCAGATAAACATTATTAACTCCACTATGATTGCGTATCCCGTCAATGCATATGATTGCTTAGACCAATAGTCAGTCGCTTCATGGCTTGGTCCCAGATCTTGTTCCTCATTTGAATTCATTTCAGCGTAATCATATGTCATCTAATATGAAATGTTACAGTAAGCAACTGGTAGACATACATTAAACAAATAGCCACTTTAAAACTTCAATTCATGTAGCTGCCTTACTTAATACCATATCCCTAATCTCAATATGGTCCATATAATTTATCTAGCATATGCTCATAACGCAGTTGTGGTAGGTTGTCCAAAGCTTTCTCCGATTACTGTGTTATAAATACACAATATGCCCAAGTGAACTGTCATGTGAATGTTTTCAGCACTAATGATTAGTTGAATGTGAGAGGAAGCCTTTTGAATCTGTGCCGATTTTAATTCCGTTTCAAACTCAGCGATTCTAATACAACCTCATAAATATATTAAGTGGCCAGTATACCTAATTATTGCGATCTTTATAGTCAAATGGCATATAGATGGAGGTAGAAATCGTTATTCAAATCCCCTAACATACCTTACTTCCTGTCATTAATTCCATAATATAATACTGTCTTTCGCGTACTCCAAGGAATTAGATCCCTGTAGAGTTAGTCAAACAATGAATACCTTTGTAGGCGTTTCTCTGAAACAGCCGAATAACATGGAGAACGTTGATATATTCCGATCTCCGCCACTTGATCTGGATATGTCGTGGTATGTACGTGTCACTTTTAGTGATACAGTCAAATGCTAAATTCACATCTAGAGAAATGTGGCTAGTTACGGACACTGAGAAGTGCCATAGTGTTTTAAAGATTAAGCACAATATTTGTGCACTTAATCTATTTTATGTTATTACCTAATCAGTTTCCCAATTAAAGTTAGAAGTTAACTAAACTAAAATGTGACCTAAGTGATCACTTGCTTTTAAACCTTATCCAAGGTAACCTACTGTTGTTTGTATTCTTCAAATTCAATTTATTGTCATCATTTGATGATTGTAACTAAAAATAAAAACAGCAGTTCAGCGAAGAGGTTTTTTTTCGGCGAATTAATTTAAGATCCGGATTTTCAACTCCAATGTGAAGTCAGTGCTATTTGGCGCCGCGTCATGAAGTGCACTTCAAACAAACTACAGACTTTCATTAACAGCTGTCTACGCTCAGTACCACTCAAGATCAGATGGCCAGCCAGAAAAGGTCAGTAACAGGGATCTCTGGGAGCTAACCAACTCAGCAGGAGCCAATTGTGCAACAAATATGCAGGAAGAAATGGAGGGGGATTGGCCATACTCTGAGAAAACCCATCAAGTGACATCACACTCCAGGCCATCGCTCGAGTGGAACCCGAATGGGAAGCGGCGAGTTAGTTGGTCATCAGTGCGGGGGTGACATGGAGGAGGTGATGTGAAGAGGAGATGAAAGCATGTGGGCAGACGTGGAGCCAGGTGAAAACGTCGGCGGAAAGTCGAACACAGTGGAGAAGTGCGGCTGAAACCCTACGTTCCTCTAGAAACTAAAGGAAACAATAATAATAATAATATAATTTGTACAAACATAAATTCTTGTGAAGTTTCTTCTAGTTTTACTGGAAGATATACAAGGAAAAATTTGCAAAGAGGATGTTTGGTGTCAGATGAAATAACTTTAGCCAGCTGCTTGCAAGAATTGAAATGCCTATTGACAATAATGTCAGTTAGTTGATTTAAAGGCGCACACCAATAACCCTACTTGCAGTTTTCAGTATTCTAAGTATTATGATCTAACCTTTTTTAAGTTCATGGAAGAATAATGACGAACAGTAAAGGAGAATGGGCAGAATACGTGAATTAACAAATTATAAGAGAAAAGGTTGAGTTATGCCAGAAAGTCTCAACTTCTTTATGTAATAAGTCGAACGAAAAATTTTCTTAAAAATCAACAGGACGTGAAACAACCAACACAGATTCGAAGAGAAACTGATGCAAAGATAGGAAATATTTGATTTACTCCCTATCACAGTGCCGTCATTATTACAGGAATTATGCATCTGAATCAGTTCATGCATGTCTTGTTCGCAATTGAAACTAAAATGAGCAATATGACATTCAGATGGATTTAGTTTAAGACCATTTAGTTGAGACCACTTGTTAACTTCGGATAAGAATCTCTTCATATAAGAACAATCCAATACAGAAACTAGTGGAACAGAAATGTTTAGCTCATCGTTGTATTTAACGAAGTTAGCTTTAGAAGAATATGGAAGGACATGCAAAAAGAAAGAAAAAAGGAATGGGGGGAATACAGCGCCTTGAGGCACACCAGTTTCTGTTAACAATTAAGTGGAGAGCTTTCCATTCAAATCAGTATTTTGTTTTCCACCCGAAAACCAAGAAGACAGCCACCTTGTGACCCAGGACTCAGCTGAAATCAGCTTGCTTAGTGAAAGTGCCCTAGAAATAGAGTCAGAAGCAAAGCAGCAGTGTAGTTGAAAAAGAAGTCTCGAACAAACTTTGCACCTTTATCAAGACTTCAAACAATATTGTGGTGTAGTACAACGACAACATCTCATGTGCTTCTACTGCTTTTGTATGCAAACTGCTTTTCAAAGGTTTAAGAACATGCAAGAGAAGTTTCTCGGTAGTTTTCCTAAATGGAGACGTGATCGCGAATGGCCTAAACTTTAGACCTGACCTAGAAGATGATTTTGGTACAGGCACTACCTTTTTTCCTTTCCAGGTAACAGGTACTGTTTCCATGTGAAATGATACATTAAAGATTTGTGTAAGAGAATGACACAAAATATCAGTACACTTTCGAAGCAGAACGCTTGGTACACCATCGGGACGTAGGCTGTGCAATGGATTTAAGGATTTGGGACGTGGCGATACATACTTTTCATTAAAACCAGGGAAATGATCATCTACGTGACTAGAAACATCAGGTTCAATTTTATCAGTTTGTTGCATCATAAAAGATCGATTTAAGGCAGAAACTTATTCTTTTCTTTTATTTCTATTTACCATCCCATTTATGTTACTTTATGAAGAATAAATCCACAGTTGATGATCGATTAATTGGTGAAAGTTGTTTAGGTGATATTCAACCAATGTCTATTGATTCATCTGTCGGATTTCAACAAATTGGTGGTCATGAACAACATATATTAGCACTGAGAGAGAGCATAATCCTACCGTTAATGTATCCTGAAGTATTTTCAAAGTTCAATGTTGATCCACCTCGTGGCGTATTGTTTTCCGGACCTCCAGGTAAGTACTCAGTTGTAGTCATATATTTTTGAACAGCATATTTAAGCGAGCAATATTATTTTCAATTAGATCTCATCAGGCCTAACTCTAATATAAACAACTTTACAAATAAAAATTCAAATATAAACCAATCATGGTGTTTTGTCTATAGGATAATAAGATGGGGAGTATAAATTGTGCAATTAGTCATAATAATAATAATAATAATAATAATAATAATAATAATGGTTTTATCAATAATAAGGATGAAAAAGTGAGGCAATCTGTGATAACACGAATAATGAAAAACAACATGATTAAACGAACAAATGTTCAGGTAGAGGTAGTCGATAAAGGCTAGTAAAAACAAATGAACCGATTAAGTAATGATAGATTGTAAGAGAAGTAAATGAAACACGTTTATAATGAAGATGTGATAAGATTAAGGGATGATAAGAGAGGGTTTGAAAATATAAGTAAGGAGTGATGTAGAAGTCATTAGTTGGTTATGTCTTAATAGGCCAAGCGAGGGATAATGACTGAACGAACCTCTTTTGAATGCATAGTTCAGGTTTAATAGTTCGAATGCCTATCGCCTCAGAAGCCAAAAAACCATCATCGATAGTCCAATGCGAAGTGTGCAGTAGACAAATATGAAGTCTATTGCAAAGATTCGGTGGGATAGGATGAATTACTTTGAAAGCTCTCGTTTTCTCCACTAAATTACCACTATCAATTAAATGTGACAAAATTGAGCTACGGATTGTTTTTATCTGTCCTTTGCCAAACCACGATGGGAGATGTTCACTAACACGTTGGCTAAGCTGTCTAGTAGTACACCGAACGTAACTGTCACCGCAGGTGCAGTTGAATTGATAAATGCACATAGATGTGGCATATATATATATATATATATAGCCAGTAAATAATACTGTTTCACTGTGATATATCCAATTAATAAATTAACATAGAGAACGGAGTTGTGTCTTCGATTGAATAATAGAAATCGTTGTTAACTCAGGACACCTAGCCCCACTTGAAAAATCCTTCAAAATTTTACACAAGATGCGATCGGACCTCTCAAAGGAAGTGAGATCAAGACGTCCGGGCGTAGCAAAGCATTAGCATTCTAGCAACTCAAGCCAGTGCTGTGAATTTTTAAAAGTAATGCGAACCTTTATCTCTGCCTGTCATAACCGGTCTTAATCGCAAGATGAATTCATTAATTTTCATAACTTAATACCAGCATTGTCTGTATGTAGTGTTCCTGCGATGGGCAAGGACTGAGTATACTCTACATGCGAAACTTGCAAACTTCATAATCATCATCGGTTTCGAATATTGGCAGCCTTCGAAATGGGACAGTAGTCTCTGCCAGTGACGGGCTTGCGCTCACTTTGATTTTAGTGAATGCTGTGGGTCTCTCGTCTTGATCGAAGGTGCTGATGCAGTAATCGTTAACACCTCCGATACCAATTTCTGTAAGGATGACTAGAGCTCAGAGAACATCTTCACCCTTGAAAGAGATGAGAGCACACACTGACCAACCAACCAACACAAATATACTGGAACACAAGAGGAAAAAGGTGAGGCAGAGTGTATTCTAATAGCTATGAGAGATACAGATTTTAGGCAGATTAAAAGTATAGGTTTATTGTTTTATATTATTTGTGTTCAATTTTTATATCGTCTGATAATTGCACTACTACATTCAAAAGCCTGTATCTACAACATAAGAGAAAAACCACAGTTAATTGTACTTATTATTGCACATATCAGTTTAGCAAGTGTGACAGTAGGGGTTTGATTATTTTCAAGTTAAGTCGCAGATCAGCATCACCTAGCGAACCATTGAATCGTTTATTATTATTATTATTCAATTATTTGTTTAAGTTGATTTGAAATTTCTGTCAACTGATTTATATTTGGCCGTAGTACTGACGACTCCCCAAATAGGACGAAATGCTCATCCTGAATTCCATTGTTAAAACCCATCAGTCAAGTGACATTATTTCAATACATTTATTATCTGAACTTCTAATTTTCCTGTATTAGTTCCTTTTTGTTTTACTTAACTTCACTCAACTATTCACTGTCTTTTGACCACTGGCTATGTGGAGACAATTTTAAAGTTTCTTTACCTCTTTGTTATATATTCACAAATGTACAGCCTAATTAATATCCTCGTTGAAAGGAGAACTTCTGTATATGCTACAACTGTCGTTTTGTTTTCCTGTGATTTGATGGCAATGTGTTAACCTTATCACTTGACGACATTTGATTCATTCTCAGATATGGCCCTGGCTGGTGAATACTAAAGCGGAAGGGGTATTGTTCACTGACTTAAGCAGTTGGAAATTACTGTGAGCAGTTACTCATTAGGTGCATCTTAGTTCCTAGTGTATGAATGTATACCGAAATGGTAAATTTCTCCTCAGCCAGTCGTATGATTTTTCATCTCCTGTATTCTAGCTTACCTATTCGATAAAACAGTGAGTGATACTGTATTTGGCAGTAGTCAGATGTACTGTAAGAAATAACAGTCGTCGAGATGAAGATAACTTGACGTCGAGAATTCAAAAAACATTTTATCTTCATGAAATAAATCATAGTAGAATAGTAGTTTTCAGGTTTGTGTGCTAGTGAAATAATTCACCTTAAATAACAGGATATAGCTTGTGGATAATTGTAAGGTAATACTTGTATCTGTTAGTAATAATAGAGATGTGAGGTGAGTTAATAGATGAGGCGTAAATTTTACGTGAACTTCAGGTTTCAAAGATTTGGTGAAGTACATATATGGCAGTCGATGTTCACTAAATTATTGTAACCTTATTGATGAAAGACCGAATTATGATGCTACTGAAACTTACGGAGGTACCGACTGTCGGTGTGGTTCGTCAAGAATGCTTAACATCGGTGCTTAACACATAGGAAGTCGATGAAGTCGCAGTTGTACACTGTTTACTTGCTACCTTTTTGCAGGATTCTTGTTCCTATCATTTTTTATCTTTTTAGATAATTGTAGGTTCTTTCTTAAGTAAACGACTGGGTCTCTTAGAGTATCTAAAACCCTCCTGTGGCACAGCAGATTACAGTGCTTTTTAATAATAATAATAATAATTTGCTTTATTCCAGAAACAGTACTAGTGGTACAGTGTGGAATTTTCAGCACATATCTACAATATTTGCATCTAATTTTACAGACATTTAAAATAAGTATTAAACAAACAAAAAAATAAATCTGAAGGCACCAACAGCAAAAAAACAAACAAAAAAATAGGATAAACACAAAATAATTATAAATGCTAAAAAGTACCAAAGTCTAATGCAGTGTTTGTGGTGGCAGTGTGAGTAATCCTGAATAATACAAAATTTTTTAAGGTGGTGACTATGGCGTTCACAACCAATGATTGTCAGTTAATATTGCCGAAAAGTGCATGTGAAATCACCCCAATAGATGGGAATAAGAATAGACGATCTGTGTACGGCAGCAAGTCTATTCTACATTTTTCAACAAACAACAGCTGCTTCATAGTAGCAATCTGTTTATTGCAGGAAGATGGAGCATTCGATGGGTGGTTATACACATCAAGAAGACTTTAGCCCATCAACATATATTTCTTAGATCAACAGTCTGAGACTTCGAGAACTGATGTAATATTTTGGTATAATTGCCTATTTTTTTGACAGTGTTTTTTCATGAAGGTGAGTCAGTGGCACAGCGGTTAGGACTCTCGCCGACCATGCACATAGTCCGGGGTTCGATCCCCCGCAGACGCACACCTGGTTGGCCTGCAAAATTCGGGCTACCGATATCACATACTGAAAATTCCATACTTGTACCAAAAATATGGCGTGGAATCGAGCTATGATCAAAAATTAAAAAAAAATACATCCAAATGCGTAACACATGCTCCAGTCATACTAGTCATTAAACATTCATAGCCTCATTATTTAAACTCCTGTCTTTCCTTGACATTTTTTTGGTGCTTAAATATTCTTATGCAAACATTCTCAAAGAATCCGTGACATTTTCATAACTTCTTCTTTTGGCAATTATCACTTATCGGTGAAAGGTAGGACAGAGCAAACTGTTCGGGGTACACTTATCCTATTTTATATAATCAGATATCATGCTTTTTTATTCCTCTACATTGCCAGTGGACCATAAGGCATCAAGCTAGAGTCTTTAATTTTTGGTAGCAGTGATGTTTATTTTTACGGGATGGGGTTGCTAGCCTCATGTTCAACCTTCCCTCTTTCCAGTCTTAATACTGGCTTAGTGAGGTAAAGGAGTGGGTCGGCCAAGGATCGAACCCCGGACCACATGCGTAGTTGGCGAGGTCTCCACCGCTGTGCCACCGATGCTATTATCATGCTAGCAACGGGGATTTTATCAGCTACCTGTCCATAAAGACTGATGCAAGTTCTAAAGTAAAAGAAAGAGTCACTCTTGTCTTAAAGTCACAGTTGATGCTAGCCATTCTTCTAACACTATCTTACATTTGATGAAAGTGGCGCATATACAAGGCATTCAGATTTTTGTTTAGCGCATTCAAGATGAATCATAGGTGTGTTTGGTGTAACATCGACGCTACATCAATCTTGCTGTTGATTGAAATATGATAATTCATTGCTTACTCTTTAATTAGTATAACTTATTTTCTCGATAAAAATGTTTATGAATATATTTGCCTTTCTCGTAGTCATCTTTCATTTGTACTTTCTTCTATTAGGTACAGGAAAAACATTGTTAGCCAGAGCTTTAGCTAATGAATGCAGTCGTTTGGCTGAAGATAACAATGGTTCCGGAAAACGTCGTGCTATAGCATTTTTTATGCGTAAAGGAGCTGATTGTTTATCTAAATGGGTTGGTGAATCTGAACGTCAATTGCGTTTGTTGTTTGATCAAGCCTATCGAATGCGTCCTTCGGTTATATTTTTTGATGAAATCGATGGTCTAGCGCCAGTTCGTTCATCAAAACAAGTAAGTTTCAAGTTATTTTTAAATTATTATATAAGCATGATAAGGATATTTATTTGTTTTTTGTATTAGAAAATCATTTTTATTCTTTTGTTTTGCAGTAAACACTTAGATTGATAGTATTAAAGGTTTAGAAAGTATTGCAAACTGCGCTGTTTACTACTGGACTGAAAATATCCAAAATAGGCAATTGCTATAATTATTTCATACAACCAGTTCCCCTGATTAGTTTGAACAAAGAAGGGATATACATGTTTGCAGGATAAAGAAAAGGACTCATGTCTTCTACTTCACTGCTTTTCTTCAGCTGCTAACAGCCTAAATATGTGACATAAGTTGTTATAAATGCAAAACTATGTAAAATACAACGGAAATTGTTATTTCAACTCAAAGGGCATAGTTGTAGAGCCAGAAGTGATATGAATACAAGATAGTTAATAATCTAGTGATCAGAGTTCACTTATGCACGATATTGATTACAATTTCGAGAGAAGAGATTGAGAATGAAAAGAACTGGTTAGTAGAAACGAAATTATTAAGGAAACAAACAATCACGTAAATTGGATTGTTAATAAATCTCGCACTACCGTGGTAATTAGACGCGTCTACTACTTCTCTGTGTTCCTGTTGCGTCACAACTCTGAGCTGAACTTATTAATAGTCTTCCAATTTACGTGATTGTTTGTTTCCTTAATAATTTTATTTCTACTAACCATTTCTTTTCACCCTCACCCTCTTCTCTCAAAATTTCAACCATATGCATAAACTGGTTGTTAGATCATTAACTATCTTGTGTTTATATCACTTCTTGTTCTACAACTATGCCCTTCAAGTTGAATTAATTTTTGTTGAATTGAAACGGTAGAAGACGAAGACTTGATATAGGAATGTTTATTTGGAAATTGCTATCTCTATATAAACAAATTATGTGTATGTTATCTTCAACGCATCATTTGCACAGATCTTGGTGTTGTGGTACTTCTGGACTTCATACTGTGTTTCGTTGTGTTCCGTTCACGTCTCCCATGTATCTCTGTAGCGTTGTATCATTTGCCTTCTCTGACATCAAATCTATCTCCCTGCTATTTTATGTTTTTATACCGATGGACGTCCCTTTGTATACTACTGATAAATCTTATCAGTAGCACTCGCCATAGTATGTTATGTAGTTTTACATTCGTAATAACTTATGTCACATATTTAAGCTGTTAGTGGTTGAAGAAAAGCCATGAAGTAGAAGACATGACCTTTTTTATCCTGCGAATATATCTGTACTTTGTTCACACTATAAGTATGGTTTAACTGGCTAATTTTTCAACAAGCAGAGCTATGGTTACCCGTTGTAGCCTGTTGAATGTACCTAAGGTGAACTCTCACCACAGTTTCCTCTGGGAACTGAAATTATTCAGATCACAATATTTGATGTGCTTGGTACTATAAATAGCAATGAAGAAAGCAAACAAAGATGTATGATGCTATATACTACTGATTGATCAACATTAGTAGCTGGACACCACTCACATCAACCAGTAGTGTTTGTTAACCAGATTCAACATTCCCCTTGCAGGGTAAAGGCACTATTTCCTATTCTCTTAAAGACGTGTAGGCAGTTATTTAATCTTCAAGTTGCCATAGTTATATGTATGGTTGAATGTCTAATGTAAATACTTGCAGTGTTGCTGTACCACCTTTCTTTTTTCTGCTTTTTTTTCTTAAACAGAGTCACTTGTTGAAGATGTGCCTTTTAACTAACCTGTAAAATGTGAAGAGAATAAAGGTCTCTAGCAGGCGACCTTGCAGCATAGTCCTAATTAGACTTTAGGCTTATCAAGAACGTGTAGGTTCGCAAAGATTAACATTTTAACATACTTCCGACATGTTACTTTCAGTAGGTGTCACCACCAGAAGATATTCTAATCTAATTCTCTGCACATATTTGTTGGTTTACTTAGCATTGAGTGTTCATAGTTATTACAAAATCTCCCATTTCATTATCTAACGTAGACTTAGGATTTGATAAGTACAAATTTGCATGCTTAAAGACCTCCTTCTTCTCCTTAAGTTTATTGTTTTCGACTGAATAATTGTGCATCTGAGATTATTGTGTGGGTTTAGTGAAGAAGTAAATAGAGCGTGTCTTCATCAGACGTTCTCTTTCCTGTCCTTCCTGCAATATTCCGTCGTATCACAGCTTTGAAATATTTATTACTCAGATTGATTTTCCTGTATTTTTGTTTTGGGAGTTTCGCTGAAACAATCTCTTTTGTGTTGCCGTGGAGCTGGTATCTGGTGATTGATTCAAATCACAGAAAATTTAGCAAAATGAAATTAGTAAAAACTAGGAATCCCTAATTCTCCAAAACCAATCAATACACTTTAGAGTTTTGAGGGAAGTCACTTGATCATATTCCTAAATATCAAACTGGTTAAAGGAGTAAAACCAACAGCCAATCGCGTTTAGTAAGGTTTATATTTTACCGAAAAGAGTATTTTTCGTTAAGTAGAAATTCATTTAAATGCCCCATTGTTTTGTAGTTTTAACGTTTCTAAAGGATTAGGTACGAGTGGGAGTGGAAACTATGGTTTATTATTAACATTCTCGAGCCCATTAACTATTATCACGGTTATATCAGAAGTCCATAGTTTCCAAAGTAATATGACGTGAATCAAGACACACCAATACTTCTGATTTTCGACCAAGCCTGATAAACTCTTATACTGCTTTAAGTATCTGATAACAATTACGTCATACAATAAGCGTTAGTCGTATAGAAAATAATTAAATTGAGTAGCGTGACATAACTGACAGGATTGAGTAGATATCCCAAATGTCATGAGGAGTAGAAATCTGGTGGTGAGAAAAGCGGAAAATGATAAAATTTGAAAGAAGTTTAAAAATTTTGATAAACTAAAATCGGTCATCAAGTGTTGAGACGAATTAAGTCTATTACGGATCTGATGACTGGACAAACTCCTTCTATATTCAGAGTTTAGGATTCAACTTGGGGGTTGCTATAGCTTTTACTGTTTGGAGAAATTTGATTCATACTCCTTCGTTAAAATTTCTGCGTACTCAATAAATGACTAAGTTTAGTTTGCGAATCACCAATAGCTTACGCGGAATACAGGTTGACTAAAATTCAAAGACAGTCAAGTTAAGGTCACTGTTATGAGGAGTGAGAATGTAGTAGTGGGAAGACAGAAAAACAACAAAATTACAAAAAAAGGATTTACAAAGGAATATGAATTAAACTCTTTCAAACTGAAGAAGCTATGGCAATCCTCATGTTAAATCTTAAACCATGCATACAGAAGTCTGTTGAGTCACTGAACGTACAACAGACCTAATTCGTCGTAATTTTTGTTAATCCTAATTTTTTAAAATACATTTTTAATTGCATTAATATATCCTTCCCACTGATACACTTCCATTCCTCATGACACTTAGCTCTCCTTCAATTTTAGTTGGTCTCTACTCAATCCTGTCAGTTATTGTACGAAGCTCTTACTGTTGAAAACTGATATTTCAAGCATCCCACTCATTGGTGTTTTTTCACCCTTTTTTGGACTTTTTGTTTTTTGAAGTCTGAGATGTTGGTTGGTCGGTCACTTTCTTTCTTCCGATTTCTGCTTTCTGCAGTCTCAGTGTGGCCAATGAACTTTTAATATATTTTTCTATTATTTTGCACTTATCTTACAGGATCAAATTCACGCTAGTATTGTTTCCACTCTGTTGAGTTTAATGGACGGTCTGGATAATCGTGCTGAAGTAGTAGTTATTGGTGCAACCAATAGACCCGATGCTATAGATCCGGCTTTACGACGACCTGGAAGATTTGATCGTGAATTCATATTCACTTTACCAAGTGAAGCCGTTAGACGTCAAATTCTTGGTGTAATAACCTCTAAATGGGATTCTAAACCAGATTCGCTAGTAAGTCTATCTTCTTCAGTTGTTACTATTTTGGTTGAAGATGCTTCTTTTGGTGGATATCACTCGAATCGGTCCACATTATTTGTGTACATAATGTAGTACATATAACTGATAGCAGTATTTGTTATTTCACATGAATTTGCTTATGTGATTATGTGTAACAACCGACGTGGTCTTAAGAGTTGAATAATGTCGAATGTATGAATCTAGAGGCAATTGTTTTACTTTATGACATAGCTGAAATCTGAAGCTTCGTTCAGTTGCAATATTGTTTTCAACGACATAATCGTGAGATTGGTAGAAAGGTTTAGTTTACATATGGGATTTCTTAAAATGAATTACTTAACTTCCAGATAGATCTCTTCAAAAACAAGCATTTGTTCGAGAATCGATAACAGCCAAGTAGAGACTTGCATATTTATATTTCATTGCATTTCGAAAGCTGTCCTTAGTTTTCATTCAAAAATCTGTTAAAATAACTGTCAATTTGTACTATAAACACTATTCTATACAGACATCTAATCTAATAGTATGGTTCATGGGATTCCAACTTTTGTTAGTCTTTTATACAACCTGATCATGATCTAATATTGTGGGTGATTAAGTGTCATTCAGTCCAGCTTAATTGATCTAGCTGATCACACATCATTAGAATTTCAGGAAATTTGTTTTGAAGCCTCTGGGGTGTTCAGTTATGAGGTGAGGTTGGTGCTCTCTACTGTTAAATAGTTCTAAAGTAAGAGGAAATGATGGCTGCTCAGTATACTTTTGTTTTAAATGTTTCTGTAACTGATGTCAGCAAAATCTCTGGTGTATTCCATGTTAGGTCAAAGTTCATTAATAAAGTATGCTGCTGCCTTTTAACCCATAGAAAAGTAGTCTCTGTGGCTAACACTGCTTAGAATAACACAGAGTGTTAAAACCCATTTGTCTAACATACTTTAGTGAATGTAATTCATCTGGTATAAACTGATGGTTACGGTGTTAACATTTGAATATATCCTGCATAAGACGATACTCCAATATAATAATCATTGAAATAAAAAAACTGAAGGGAATGAAGAAGTGACACAGAAAGGGCAATCGAAGGTCTTTTACTACCTTCGTAGATTAAAATATTGTGTGGATGAATTACAGAGGAAAAAATTTCTTCATGAGAAATGCCACTGACTTATAGTGTGACGTGACCAGAAACCCCCTACTAAATACTACCTATCCATAAACTTTTATATATTTAGTCAAATCGGTACACCATATCCCTGTCATACCTGCCTTCTGGAAAGCATCTCAGTGTCATATATAGTCATCCACAAACTATGCTTAGTCTCGACTAAGGTGAGAATTTTAAAGTAGTTTCACTACTTTCACTGTGCTACTGAATGTCCCAACAGTGGTAAAGATCATTTGTGTATTGTTTTCAATGGAAATGGAGAAATTTTAGGGAAAATAGCAACGAAAGATAATTTAACCTGCGAACATTATAAATTTATGGTGAACATCAATTAGAACTAGCTTAGTTCAATGTTGTTTCATAACTTGAAAAGACGAGGCTAATTAAATAAACACGCTATCAGCAGTTCTTTCATATCAGTTCGGACCTAATGTATATGCTGAAAAGATCATTTTGTAAATGAAAGTTTACAGTCTTGATCTCATGTTGATCACCATTCATGGTCTCGGGTTCGAGTCCCACTCAATCTGCTGTAGTCTGGTCAACTTAGTAGTATCATCAGACCTCCTTCAAAGCACTTGTGACTTTTAGCCTGGTACATGAAAAATCTGTTCTAGGTTATCCAGTCGTCATTATACAGTGACTAAGATGCAAGAAACTGCTCCATCTATTGGCTATTCGTTGAGTGAAAGTTATCTAATTTAATAGCAAGTGAATACTAGTAATTTAGGATTTAGTTTGTAAAACAGCATTTTTACTTGTATGACCTTACTACTAATGAATCTGAGTGTTTCAGAAAGCATTTATGAAGCATAGTTTTTAAGTCCCCACAGTATTTGGTGAATTTCTTTTAGTAAGAGCATAGTTCAATCCCCGGTCTTCCCAGTGTAATGTGTTTCGCTAATTCTGGTTGGCATTAGAATCAATAAAAGGGGCTGGTTTTGTGCATGGACTTTGAATTTAAAACTTGTGTCACGCACCACATAGGAACATAAATTTTTTTTGGAAGCATGAATTTAGCCACTCTAAACAAAACTCATCAAATGATGCTTTTGGCAGTAAGTTAATGCTTCAGGTGAAAATAAAAATGAGTAATTATAGCGATACACAAGGCATATTCACATCTCGAATATGCCCTGCAGTAATGGAGAAGGTTTGTGGCTCGGGTGGATGATTGTGGTGTGGTTGTGTTCTGTCCGCTGAATAGTTTAGTTGCAAAGCTTTCATTGTCTTATCAGACAGCATCCTCGGTGCCTAATTGAATTTGAAGTCATGAGAAATGTGCATCATTCCCTGCAAACTGCTTATTTTTAAAGCGTTTTTCATGTTCTTCAAATTGAGGTATGCGCTGATGATGCTAAATGCTAAGAAAATGAAAGCTTCGTAACTAAACCGGCCAACTGACAGCACAACTGCACCAAAATATCTTGCAGTTTCTTACAATTAATGTTCCTCATTTATTGTGATGGTAATGTATACTTGTAACGGCGGAAGATTAGGAAATTGGTAACGAACTTTTTTATTAGGGGAAAACACATATCTGTGCATTTTTAATCACATTAAAAGTCGACTACGTCAGTGGACAACAAACTGTACTGACTGGTTGACGATTGGTTCAAGGTTAAACTATGGGACGAAAAATCGCCGAATAAGATTATTTCATCGGCACAACATAAACTAAATCCAAATTTGAGGAATAAACACTTTTATATCTGCAGCCATTGACTTAAAATTTTAATTTCAATTTTTGGCTGCTCCCTATCAATCCGCATATCTATATATGTGCACGACACATACTGACGTTAGTCAAAGTTTACTAATTACAATGACAATCAGATTAGCCTACTGGGGCCTGAGGTACTGGACAAAAGAAAAGATTGAGCTAGAAAAGGTCTGGAAGTCTCATTGGTCCAATCCGTCTCACATCGAAAAGGATTCGGAAAAGAAAGACAAAGTATGAAGGAATGATACCGAAAATAAGCATGTATGGAAGAAGAACTGAAAACTAAGTAGAGACTGCAGGAATGTTCAGAACTTCACTGTTAATAACGAGTGAATGCATTTTCACTATCGTGAATAATTTTATGCAATATCACTGAAAGATCTTCAGCCACTGATTTTTAATATTACTAAGGATGTATCCAGGCGACTTGCCCCTCCCTATATTGCGAAGATGCTCAACTTGAAAGGCAGATTTCGTTTTTACTATATGTTCTGCTTTTAGCAACTATGTCTCATAACAGTAAAGTCAGGTGAAATGGAATATATCTAACTGATGATAGGGACTGCATGAGCTGGAAGATGCTAAGATTTCGTCAACAACTAGTGCATTAGGAACTGGTAATGTTTTCAAGAAATATTAAATTACGCCGAATTCGGCGTATAAACTAGTCGAGGAAATGTTATGAAGTGTAATGTTGTTACTGTTTTCTTAAAGTTTTGTTTTATTCACTCTCATATGAATTATGTATTTCCGTTTTATCTTCTTTCTTCTCTTTCTCTCAATAGTTACTAGATCAGATTGCTGCAACAACTACTAATTTTTCTGGTGCTGATTTAAAAGCGTTGGCGACAGAAGCATGTCTATGCTGTTTACGTCGATGTTATCCACAAGTTTATAAAAGTCATGTTAAACTAGCTTTGGAATATAAATATTTAGTGGTAAATGTTTTGCTATATGTAATAAAATAATATCACAGTTTTATTTCATATCATTTTTGTCTCGTAATTTGATTTCTTGATGTTAGTTCATTTCTTGTATATACTTGTTACATAATACATGTCTGTTACAACAGGGGCGAAATTGTAATTATAATGTCTTATTATTATTATTCCCTTGAGTTCCGACTGGAACATAGGGCTTCAATAGCACAACTCCACTTTGTCCTATTCTCTACTGTCCTCTTCAGTTGGCCCCACGATTACCCGTAGTCTATCATCCCCTCCTCTTATGATCTCCTCCATGTCACCCTCGGACGCCATACTCGTCGTCTCCTATTCGGGTTCCACTCGAGAGGCTGCCACACGATGTCATTCAACGGTCACCTCAGCGCGTGTCTGATCCATCTTCATTTTCTTCGGGATATTTGTTGAGCAATAGGTTCTTGATTAGTTCGTCGCATGGTTTTCTTGTTGCTAAGTCTTCTTGGCCATTTGATCTTCAATGCGGAGCCAGCGAAGACAGCTGTCGATAAAAGTCTGCGACCTGCTGCAAATGCCTTTCGTGGCGAGCCACGTTTTTAAATAAAGTGTGATAAAAATGTCAGAAAACCACACCCATAGTATATTCTAAGTGTATAGTCATCATTTCTTTACTGTTCAACTTGAAACTTTGTAACTATGCTGAAGGTCGAGGATTGCATCGTACAATATGCATTTTGTGACATTGTTTTTATGAGTTGTAAGTGTCGACCAGTGAAACAAAAATATATCGATTGTACTGATTGATTAGAAATCATCAGGACCAGACATAATTTCCCCAGAAACACTGAAAACGAATCCACAGACCTCGATGGATATGCTCACGCCACTATCGCAGAAGGTTTGGAAGGAGGGAAAGGTACCTACCGGTCGGAAGAAAGACTATCGTGTCAAACTACTAAAGATAGGAGAAATAAGCCTTTACAACAATTGGGGCAGAATCATACTGTTGTCCACTTCAAGAAAATCACTAAGCCGCATCATCATGGAGAGACTAAAGAACGTTCTGGATGCAAAACTCCTCCCGTGACAAGCTGGATTCAAGAAAAGTGAGTGATGTGCTGCAGCACGACTCATTGTCGTCGAACAGAGGACAGAATTACATTCAATTACTTATTTCCCTCAACTTCAAGAGGCATCGATCGTGAATCAATTTATAACTGCCACAACACTACTGAGTGCCTCAAACATTCATAAAGCCCATGCAACAGCTGTATGATGATATCACATGCAAAGTGATTCACTACGGAGAGATCATTACAGCCTTTGTAGTGAAGACAGAAGTAAGACAGGGTTGCTTACTATCATCGATAATATTCCTGCTTGTGGTGGACTAGATTATGCGGCAAACCGTGGGGAATGGGAAAACAGGAGTACGTTGGGCCAGCAAGAAGACTCTAAGAGACCCGAACTTGGTGGATGATTTATGTCTTGTATCACAAGCTGTAAGATTTACTGGCAAAAACCAACAAGTTGGTGGAAGAATCTGGCAGTAAAGACTGGGCTTCAAGTGAATATAGAGAAGAGGGAAACTATGAAGATACTTAACTAACAACAACAAGCACCAATCGTCGCCGTCATCAGAAGTCTATAAGAAGTCACCTCTTTCACTTATCTAGGCAGCATCGCTTCAACTATAGGTAGCACGGATGTGAATGTCAAAGCTAACCAGTGTCGGAGAAGTAAGACAGATCTTCATTAATCTGAAATCAGTATAAAAATCTACTATACTCAGCATAAAGAAAAAGATCCGGATCTTCAGCATATGTCAAATCAGCTCTTTGTCTTCCAGAGACTTGGCATGTTACCGACAGCATTTCGAACAGGCCTCAAACTTTTGTCAACTATTGCCTTCGCTCCATACTAAAGATCAAATAGCCAGAACGAATTAGCAACAAGAAACTCTCGTAACGAACCAACCAACACAATAGGTATGGGTCATTGCCAACTGTATGGAATTACAAATTGTTGCTGAGTATTTTAAATAGCCTAATTTTAAAGAATCTGTTGTATGCTAGTTTACACTGTTTCGTTCAGGGATAGTTTTCAATGTATTATGAAATCACTACATTGAATATCAATGCATTCTTAGCAGAAAGTCATCAGATATAATATTACGGCCGAATAAATTGTATATAAACGTGGTTTGAAATGATAATAGCCTTATTTTTTCTAAAGGGAAAGATCTATTCACTGTGAAAATAAATGCAAAATCTTTTCGTGTACTATTGCTTCCAATTCCTGTTTCTTACGGAAGTGAAGTCTTCGCTTAGATCGTTTATTAAATAAGGTAAAGAAGTTTGTAACCTCCGGAAAACACCTTAACATGTACAATATACTGATAAAAAAAGATAATACCAAGATCTGGTCAATTTTTTTATCATTTATCATTTATCAACTTACGACTAATGTATGGAGGTTTCAAAACTGAACTTCACTTTCACTCAACAGCAAGACCCATATCATGTGATAAGCCTTCACACAGCATTTTCGGTTCATGGTTTAGCGTGGATCAAGATACTAAAGTAGCTTTCGGAGTGATAAAAGAAAAAAATCTTCATTGACGGCGGTAGCAAAATACAGACTATTTTTAAATAGTGTTAAAGCAAAATTATACTTTTTGGAATGCACACAAGTCAATAAAGTCTTTACATTGAGTGTTCTCAATGCTTACATATTACGGAGCTGTAATGCATTCGTCTAGAGACTCAACTTTTAGTTAATGGGTTCTAAATTGGAACTACACTCAACACACTGATGACTCTAACAACACATACTGGTCGTCAGTGAAATCCAAAGTTTATGGTAACAGTTACATATAACAGAGAACATTAGTCAGGTAGAAGGTAAAATGAAATCAAATGACTATGTTAAATGACACAGCATATGTAGCAAGAATGAGAAGATGTCAACGAAAATTGCAAAATGGTCAAGTTAAGTGTCCTAAGGTATAGAAATGTGGTAGTGGGAAGATAGAAAAATAATAGAATTAAAAAAAGTTAAGATACTGAGATTCCTAAATAAATCAGATTTCTTAAAACATCAGGAGCTATGGCAATCCACATGTTAAATCCTGAACTTTGTATATAAGGAAGTGTCTTGAGTCTCTGGACCTACATTGGACTTAATATGCCTCCATACCTGATATGTAATTTTTTGACTTTTGTAAAATTTATTACTTTTTCGCTTCCCAACATTACATTTCTACTCCTCATGACTCTTCAGTTGACCTTTCATTTAAGGTCTGCTCAATCCTGTCAATTATATTACGTCACTCAATTTACTTATTTGATTTTATTGTAATTTCTAACTGATTAAAGTTTTCTGTGCTATATAACTGTTATCGAAATCTTTCTATTTTAATGACGTGTATTGGTCGTTACCTAAAGTATAGATAAATGCTTCCAAACCCAGAAGCAATTTAATTTCGTCATCTTTTTTTAATATCCCATTTGTCATTGAGCGATTATCTTCCTAATTGTAATGTTTGCTTCCTCTAGGTCTCACACTGTGATTGGTTTGAAGCTTTACAAATTGTTCGTGCATCAAGTGAACGTTCAGATGCTGATGCAGCAGCATCAAGTTTAACACCATCTGCAAATGCTCTGGCTGCTACTATCCGTACACCTTTATCACCGAATCTAGCTAAACTGTTAATACGTAATGTTGATATAATTGTGAACTATTTAAGCAGAGCGCTATTTGACCCTAGAAAACAAATCAATCCCACGGATCATTTTAAGTCATCACGATACTCAGCAAATGATATTTCATCATGTATTTTCAAATCAAAATTATTCATAAATGGAAATATATCAGATATTATTATGAATGCTGTATGGCATAAATTAGAGACATTACAGGTAAGTTTGTGAAATCTACATAGTCGTCAGATTTGTAAAGATTTATTTGTTATAATGGGCTGATGAACTATTTAAACCTGTGAAACAATGATCAACTGTCTTAGCCTGGCATTTACTAGCTACTTTTCAATTGTATTTTAATGAAACACAAGGGTCCTAGGTTGAATCTCTTATTTAGTCATGACTACGCATTGATGAAGATGACCTTGTCTAGAACTAAATATTTAAGCAGGTTTCCGTGTTGTTCATCAACAATCTAACCAATATCTATTCGTAATGAAGTCCAACTTTGTGTGTGTATACCTTGATTGTACTTATTATCTTATTTAGTGTCTTGTCAACTTTCCTTTATTCTGCTATGCATCATAAGGAAATGTAAATTGACTCGTAGAGAAAATGCATTAAAGAATTAGATGAATGTCTAAAGTAAATAATACAATTTCTCGTATTCTTCACAGGTGGTAATTTTGTGATATAGGTTATTTGATGTTGATGACTTATTGTGGTATAAGCATTATTCAAGCTAGTAGTTTAAAAATAAATAGTTCAACTATCTGTTTTTGTTATGTCGAAAACCTTATCCAGGAGGCCTATATATCTGTACTTAGGAAATAAATAAGTCGGAGGATTTTTAGATTGATTTATTGTCGTAGTCCGTCCACTCTTGCTCTCTTTTCAACTTATGCTTACTTCAAGTCTCGTGATTATTGACATTCTATAGGATGGTTAATCTGTGAAAACGAGGAACGCTAATTTTTCTAATTTGCAACACTCAGTGCAACCTAGTAGTCGGTAGTCTGCTCGAAACGTCATCAGTTAATATTACTGTACCACACTGTGATTTATCAAAATAAAATCTTATCCATAATGGAGAGTACTAGTCCCATTGTTAAAGTGCCTATGATTATTGAGCATTTTCTGTATTTTAGTTACTTTGTTCTTTGCCATCGTTTTTTTTAATAAAGGTGTTTACAATAAATTTGGCCAATTTATTTGCTTTTCCTGCAAGTATTGGTATGTGTCCTGAAGCAGCAGTTGCTCAAATCATCTCTTCTATTCGACACGCTTTGAATAATTCATCAACATTATCCTTTCGTAATAATTCTCAAATGAATGGAGTGGTTGTATACTTACCTTCAGTTGACAGTCTTTTCAAAAGTATCCCACAATTAACTGGCCGCTATCTTATAGATCGTTTGAATGCTCTAGTCGATGAAGTCAATTGTGAATTGAATTATATTCCATCAGCCCTAATTGCTTCAGAATATGATGGTGCTTCATATGATAATGATAATACTAGTCGTAGTGATGTTGATAATCGTAAACTCTCTTATGCTGCTATAAAAAATCCACGTCGAATTGTTATTATTGGCACATGTAAACATCAAAACTATAAATCTGTCCCACCGAGAATTGTTACTCCTCCAAATATTGAAAAACGTCTTCCATCAGTGCGACAACCTAATCTTAGTCCCAACAGCACAAACACACTTCGTGAAAACTGTGTCACATTGTTCAATACACCGACCGAAAAATTACAAGGTATTTTATGTGCAATTTGGTTTGTCTTATTTTTCTTAAAAGTTTTATTTCCTTAATTTTATAAAATTTATGCTGGTATCGCTTAAAATTTCTGCACTTGTATAGTAACTGAGTGTCGATGAAATGTTTACGTTCTGATAGTAACGAATAATGGTTACCCTTTGTTTTAGACAGTTTTTCAAGTTTGACCAACGATTGATATCAGTTAGGGAACCAGGGAGTACTGGACAGCCATTTCGCCCTATTTTGGGACTCATTAGCGGTACGCGCCCACCGCCAGGGTTCGAACACAGGACCTTTCGGTTATAAGGCAAGTTCTTAGACCATTCAGCCACTGGGACCCGACTCAATGGCTCATGAATTCTAACTTCTATAACTGGTATCAGTCCGTGGGCAAACGTGAAAAAAATCAAATCCTTTCAAACTAGCTCTTGAAAATTAACCTAATGCTCACTAGTGACTAGCCACAGGACGAAGTTTCCTGGTGTTCTGGTGAGAAGTCCTGACGAGTGGGGTCCTTCTGCTCGGGAGTGAGGACAAATACTGGCTGGTATTCGCACCGAAATCGCGAATTTATAGAAGTTGGAATTTGTGGGCTGACCATTAAGTTGGGTTTCATTGGCTGAATGGTCCCTAAATGATAATAATCGATGGTCAAATTTGAAAAACAAATCAACTTCATACAAACTAATTCTTCAAAATTACACAGTTTTCTTCCTAAATATGTGATAATAGTTCTTCGGGTCAGGAAATTACTGAGAAGTGGGTTGATTGTCAGGTAATCTTTATGAAGGATCCAAATTAATCAGGTAATCATATGGAATAGATTCGCTCTCTACGGTTCTATGTCTTTTGAGAATGATTTCACCTAATACATTTCGATTATATAATTAGTGCAATTAATTCGTCATGGTTGTGCTGAACTATTATCACAGTTGGGTGTCTTTACATACAAAATGAAACGTGGGGCGCTCATTGAGCCGTAGAATCTGCAACATTTACAGCCCTGATACCTTGGAAGGGAAACTGAACACTTATAAGGATTCTCATTGAAAATGGCTACCCTAAACACTTCATCACAAAATCCATGGAGCCTATATCACTAAAATGGTACACACACACTTTCTGTCCCCCCTCCTCCCCCAAAATATTCTCTATCCAAATCTGCAATTTATTGGACACTCGTGTGTAGAATTACTGAAATACCGCCTGTCGCGTTCATTGAAGATAACGTACCTTGCAGCTAAACTTCAACTCTTTTTCTATGCAAAACCAGTAATTTGTAAGAACGTGAAGGATAAGCTACCTACTGTTGGCCAATTCATTGTAAATGTGTCATTTGACTAGCACATGTGGGACTAGGTATGTTGACCGTACTCAGCGTTTGATATCCAAGGATATCATCGAACACTTACTACTGTGGTGAGTGCTACTTATAATCCGATATAAGTAGTATATCAGAAACGAAGTAACAATATGTTTGGCACACTGGAAAGAGCAATCAAAGAAGAGAACCATGAGAAGAATGTTGCCACATGATGCAGAATCCAAGAAGCTATCGAATGAGAAGATATTCGACCAATTCGTCAAGGATGTGGTAAATGATGTGCAAATGGCCGGTCGAGAATATGGTATACCAAATTTAGCTATGTACCATACGTTTCACCAAATAAACATTCCTTTCAGCCTCCTCAGTCTTATCTTCTTTACACTACCATTGTAACAACAGAAGACAAGGGCCAGGCAATAGATCGTTTAGTAAGGAAATCAAAGCATATTTATATATTTTCATGTACATTATTATAGATTATTTAAGCAAACAAACACCGTCTTCTGATTGGTTGTTTCTCACTCAAAGTTAATCTTTCATCTCTTTGTGACTGTTTCTTGAATATCAGATCATCTGTATGTTAACTACATCCGCCTACGCAAAGTCTGCTGTGGTCGGTTTTGAATCAGTCTTTGTTCATATTTTATCAAGACCAATATTGAGAACGTAAACATAAACGTAAATTACTGTCTACCAATTTGGCTAATAGACAGCTCTTACCACACCACGATTTTATAGAGGATAGAAAAAGATCTCCCCATAGCTGTATTCTGGAACACCTTATCGATTCTGGACATCGAACGAACTCTCAAACCATCGTACTTATCAAACTTTTTCCAACGACAGAAGCAATGGCAATCCATATGTTAAATCCTAAACTCTATCACCATTTGAGTTGTTGAGTCCAACCAGTGTGGATATGAGGTCATTTTGTTACTGATGGTACTGAGTAGTTATCACGTAACACCATAAATCTATGTAAATCGGTAAACATGCGTTATGGAATATTAGAGCAATGACAGAATTATACTGTGCTGGCTACGAAACCTGATAGTTTTCTGTTCGACACCATTTCACTTCGTGTCAAGTGTCGATTCATAATATGATACACTCTTTATATTGAGGTTGATGCTCACTGGTTTAAGTACTCGATTTCTTATAATTTTAAACCTTCACTGCCTATGCCTCAACCTAAACAATAACACAGTTTAACACTGAAATAATTATAAACAATAAATCGTGCTCGAGGCTGTATCACTGTGTATGTCACATCATCTAAACTTAAATATCATGTAATTCAAGTGTGTTAGTGTCCAAAATTCTACTCCTATATTAACTTAGTTTTATAAGCTTTCACAGTATGTAGGCTACAAACCAATGGTTGTGAAAAGCAGATGGCTGGCACTGTGTATTATTATGCTCGATTTAATGTTAATGTCCAAAATTTCAAAAGTTAATCATTATTCAATTTTTCCCCCTTCTATTCAGAAGGCAAATGCCAGTTAGTCAATGGAATAAATCTGTCAGATCGATCGCCAAGCTCACCGTCGTCAATTCATTCAAGATATTCACCTAAGTCTAGTTTGCCTACGCTTCGTACTGGGAATACTGTTAGTGTTAATGAACCAGCTATAAAGTATTCATATGATCGCGATGTAGACAGTATTAAATTTCAAATCAATATTAATTTATCTGAATGTCGTAAATCTTCAAAGACATCAAATGTTCATCATTCACCTTTAGTTAATTCAGATTTGAATCCTTGTGAAAGTAACGCAGATAACATTCATAATAATTCGTTAAATGTTGATCTTAGTGATGATTGTCCAAAGACTTTAGACTCTCCAAATTCTAATAATTCCTTGTATGTTAATCATATGTTAAATAAAATATTTGATATCAATCATACGGAATTCATAAATTTAGAACCACCGAATAGAGATGAACGACTAGCATTCTTTACTCCTGTTTTAATTACATGGCCACAGTTAACACATACACAATTATTGGATATACGAGATAAATCTGCACAGCCACATGGCACATCTATGTAAGTCCTAGTTTAAGTAAAGTATAATACTCTGATTTCTGTTTCATGTGTCTGATCTTGTACAATATAATATATTACTATTCCTGCAGGTTCTAGATTTTGTCTGGTATAGACATCACTAAGAGAACCATTGGAAACTACTGAGTGGTGAGCAGTTTCTCGTTTCATTCTCTACATAGGAGTTCATCCAAAACGTGTCACTTTACTATGGACCCATCAAGTCAGAATGTAGTGGCTCACACCTATTAAATTTTGCCTATGTGTATCATAGTACCAGCCCTAGTGGTGTACAACTGCACCAATGTGATATTTGGTGGGCTTTATCAGCTATAGTCTCTTATTTGTACTTCACTAATTCATCCAGAAGTTAGTTAATGATGCAAAGTTGATTAGTATTAACTTGGTGGGTTTGTTAAGCTTTTTCTGATTTCAGGACTAATTTCTGTTTCTTAGAGCTCTAGGTTCATAAAATAGGTTCATTAAGCTTGGAGTGATGTTCATCTCCAGTTGACACTAGCTTGAAAATCATTGGAAATCAAATGATAGTAACATATTTCTCATTGCAGTTTAAGACTTTCCAGTCATGCTAAATTATAAACTCATATTCGATCAAGACTTAAACTTCCGTCACATCCTACTTGGACTAAACATTAGTGACTGTATCATCAGTTTATTTTAAAACATCTTGTTCGCATAAAGAACTCTGTTACATTTTTTTTTAGGAAATTTCCCTAAGAAGTTGACTATTTTCAAATTTTCGTGATCCGACTGTCCTAGGCTGAATGTCTTATGATATTATGATTGCTTTGTGAAAACAAAGCAAGTGCTCTGTTTGTCCTGGTTTTTCAAAGGTTCTTTAAGTTTAGTTGTTTTCATCCGTCACACTTCCGTCAGCACTCACACAACTACCCAGATACACAAAGTTATCGATAAATTCAAGCGGTTCACCAGCAAGAGTGAGTGCGGGTACAGGTTCCTGCCAATCTTGTAACAGTACTTTGCACTTAGACGGCGCAAATTACATACCATACTTACAGACACTGATCGCCGACTGACTAAGTTTAGATTTGGGCAGACTGAATGCTATCGCACAGTAAGACGATATTGTCTGCATACTCGAAGTCGGAAAGTCTCTCTCCAGGGAGCGTATCCGCACTACCTTCACGCACATCCTTCAGAGCTGACTCCAGAATTTCATCAATGGCAAAGTTAAAGAGAAATGGAGAGATCGGGCAACCCTGTCTAACCCCAAAGGTGATTGGGAACAGTGATGAGGTGTTTCTGTATAGAGCTTTCAGGATGTTCGCAAGCTTCTCAAGTACCCGGTCGACAACGTGTCGTGGTGGTCGTGTTTGAATACCGCAGTGACCCAACAAACTAAACTGGCTGAGACTCATGTTCCTGCGGGTCCTACCATGTCAAGAAGGTTATTTGGGTAGCAGTTAGACCATGGGGCACATGAGCTGCATAATCCAATCGGATCGAATAGCGTATGAACTTGTATTGGTCACCGGCAACCATGGGGACGTAGCCCCTGACGCTGCCTTGCGCATTACACTCCAAGTCAAATTCTCTGGAGGCGGTCCCTTAAGAAAACCATCTGCTTCAGTCTGGGCGCCCCGCCAGTTTCTTTACCTTCACACAATCAATGAAATGCAACAACAAACTGTCAATGAAACTTATTGCACGCTCTCAACAATGCTATCAAACAATAATGATATTCCAAGTAACGGATCCCTTTCCAACCTTACTTTTATTTTTATACGTAGAGTTCTGTGTTTTACTCTTGCTATCCTTGACGTTTTTACTTTCTTTATCGTATGTAATCAGAGTTGAGTGTACCCTATGACATGATAAGAGTGCCACTCTTTATCAACTAAACTGTAAATTTATATGTTATAGATTTTTTCCATACGTATCCCTTTTTACATATCTTTTACAATTGTTCACTTTACATTTCTGAACTGAACTGAGCTGAAGTTTGAACGTTGAACTTTGCACAAAAGTGCAACAATTCAAGTTGCGACAACTCATAAAACACGCGAAAAAGGCAAGGTAAAAAAGAAACGCAGAGAAACTTTCCCAAAAAATGATTAAACGTACAATACTGAAGATTCAGTGGATCCTGTAGGTCACAAAGAGTGTATGCATCCGAGCCGTTGAAAATGATTTTCAGTCATAGAACTATCATTCTCCAGTCAATGTTTCTTAGCGTGTCGAGGACTCCAACCAAAAGAGTCTACATGGCTCAAACTAACTGTCAAAGACTTTGTGGGTTGATGCCGTGTGTCGGTTTGACCACCTCTAACTTCTTTTTTCCATGGGGTTCGAATGTCTGACACCTTGAGACAATACTTTTTTATGTTTAATTCTCACAATGGGAAACAAATCTTTAAGATTCTAATACATTGCTGTTCGTGTAATAGTATAACTTTTCTTGCTTTCACCAAGCAAAAAGCATTTATTTATCTGTTCACTTTCCCCATTTTCTAAGACCTACTCCATCTCCTGCCGTTGAAAATGAAGAAAATTCGAGAAAAAACACTCGACAGGTTAATTTCACCCCAGAAGAACTAGCCATTATAGAATCTAGAGAAACACAATTATTTCGTCGTCTTAGACAAGTACTACGCCGTGTAGTAGCACATTTGGCCAGTTTTCGACGATTTGCTGTTTTCACTAGACCAGTTCAACTAGAAGAAGCACCAGATTATTATGATGTTATAAAGCAACCAATGGATTTGGGTGTTATACGTGATAAAATTGATACACATCAGTATAATAATGTGAACCATTTCATGAAGGTAAATATTTTACTTGTAATTCATGTCATTATACTATTGTTGTTATTATTCCTATCAATCCAAATAATGAAATATTGTTCCTGCTGCACTGCTCATGTTAAAGGTGGAACATTCGTTTACCTAATAATTTCCCAGTGTGCTGTTTAGCAGTTCACCTTATGTAACAGAGAAAGAAAAGACAAGTAGTGAAATCATACAACCCTTTGACCACAATTATTTCTATCGTGTAGCTTATGTTTGGCGTAATCACAACGTTAGCAATTTCTAGGTGAGATTTTTTTTCCAACGAGAAAGCTAAACCAGTTGATGAGGTTTATAAACCTTGATCGATTAAACCAAACGAAGCATGCCTGATGCAAATGGCGCTGTCACCAATTCCAGTTTTTACACTAACTGGATCTAGCAATATAATAGGAAATCCTGATGAGTTTTTTATATTACTTTACGGTAGTTCACGTCAAACGTTAACGTACGTGAAATATTATTTATTTCCTGGTGCTTAGTGATGTTTTCTTATTTGAAACTCCACATGAATGTACCCATCTCCAGGTGACTGTTGATGGTCACGCTGAAATTCATATTCATCATTTGTCGTTAACAATACTAGAGTGTTCTCGGCAAAATAAAAAAGGATGAGTATATTTAGTTTTACAAACTTTTCATTCAATGTCGAACTATATTCACCTTTTATCAATCAGCTCCTTAGCTTGTAATTATTCATTAACTGCTTCTCTGATTTTTATTTACTAATTTGTTTTTGTATTCTTAGGACGTGGAATTAATATATCGTAATGCTCTTGAATACAATCCACCGAATATTCCTCGTAGTCGAGATATTCGCTCTAGAGCTTCAGAATTTTGGGATGAAGCATGTATTCGTATTGAAGAAGAAATTCAACCACCTGATCTTAATGAACTGTGTGAAGAAGTAAATGAATCTTAAGTTTATTATTTATTTCATATTCTCGTTGCTTTTTTTATGTTCAATGTATAAGATAAGAGGGTTGTATGTAATCCGTAGAAAGCAGTGAACGAAGGTTTTGTTGTGTATTGTTGAGAAGGCAGCAATTTCCACAAGATTTTTGATGAGTGCTAAATAGTGTGAACTTTGCATCGAATCAAGCATGGAATCTTTACATGGACGATTCAGAGTTGATCTAAGGTGTATAGGAAGGTACAGACTGTCTGGTTTCATCCTTGGGATCATTAGTTAGAGATTATATGTGAATATGGCTGAACATCATTCACAATTGTTTAAGTCACCTCCCACCTTGTTATCTTTGAGATTATGACAATTTTCAGTAATTTTTATTTAACGGTTCTCTTTCCCGTACATCTTCATCCATTGTCGTTACATTGTATTTCTTGTAAATACTTTTATGTGTTTGTGTGAAGTGTGGAAATTTGGTACAGTGTATTTTAATGCATCTCCTTTGTCTCGTTTGCTAACCAACAATGTGTGCTATGGATGTTTACTCGCTTTTTGCGTCAGTGATAGTCACTGGAAAATTAAGTCGAAAATGAAACGAGTGATTAAAGCACACATACTTCCGAAGAAAAGTGAAATGACTAAATGTTGGTTTGACCCATGTAATGAGCTCCAAATGGCATGACTTGGAATTGGGTTTAGTAAAAAAAACCCTATTCCTGTTATTATTTCTTCTTCCTTTATTATTTTTTCATCTTCTACTCATAGAATATTCCATCATGATAATATGTTTCTTTGTATATAGGGAGGACACAATGAGGATATCTTTCGCAGGCTAGGTTAGATACATGAGTGGTACCTACGAGTCCATTTAGACATTCTGACTTCAGTTGTAGTTGTACTAAATTTAAAAAAGGGAGGGAAATTGGTTATTGGTCATTAAGAGTGTCTGACGTACTCGGGCTTCAATTTCTTATTTTATCTTCAGTCTTCATTTGTTAGATACAAATTGTTATCTTAATTTTCGTTTAAATTGACACCATCGATAATACCACCTAGTAGACTCTTAACGAAAACTAAACTAATTTCAATGCCAGTCACTATAAAAAAATGACCACCGACACACAAAACAAGAAAGAAGATGGATGGTTGACAAGAGAGATTTTTCCATCCCAAACATCAGTCAGAACACTTGACGGCATTGCTGGAGTACAGGTTTTCACCGACATTTACAATTGATACATTCACTGTTAAGCAAAGAGATTCAGCAGAGCAGTTCACTCTGTCCTCCCCTATGGCTGTGTAACACGGTCATTGAAAATCAGTCAGTCATTCCGTTTGGAAAAGAAAAATCTTGTGATAGTTGAGATAGCATTTTCATCGGTAAACGTTGAGAATCAGACAGCCTATATTTACAAATTTTCAACGTTGATGATCAAACTGCATTTAGACATTTGGTCAAACTGGTCAAACTGTGATAAATTATACAGTGAGTGATAGTATTCCCACTAGCACCAATAGTCTAGTGTTCACTGTTTCGAAAGATCGGTTATTATCCACTAGGCTCCCTATTGAGTAAAAAGAGTATACTTTGTTTCATAGGTTATTATTCTTGTTTTGTTTTCATTTGTAAATATTATTGTGAGTAAAATTCACTTATCATGTATTTCAAATGCATTGTTTTAAACTCGCGTGTATTTACTCTAAAATATCAGGCTAATCTTGCACGTGCAGCACGTATGTCATCACTAAGCAACCAGAAAAACAAAGAAACAGAACCTCATTCTCCCACCAAAACTAATGAGAAGTTGCAAAAGAATATCACAAAACAACCATTACCTCTTCCACAAGGTGATCGTTATAGTCGAAGATTACATGTAAGTAAAATCAATTAAATTAGATCAAAACTTAACTGTAATCAATGTCTTTTTCACCTAATGTCCCATGAACAAATTTGTGCACTACCTTTTGTTCCTACTAAAATTTAAGAATGGAAACTGATAGTTAGATTAGTGTTTGTAGCGTGTACTACTGACAAGGCTGTGCAAGTATTATATTAAGTGTTACATCATATTTAAGGATGTTGAACAGTGAGATGACGGATAGATCGTTAAGAAGATAATTGAGAGATCCTTGTGAAACAATATAAAAATTATGAAAGACAGATGAAAGAAGCACAAAACAAAGAACTTGTGCAAATTGAGATTTCAATGTAAGATTTCTGTATTTCGGCATAAATGTGCATCAATTCTCTGACAAACAGTTCCACTACCATATACTACCATGTTCTGTTGTTACACTTTCATTGATGTATTTCAACGCACTCACTTGTAGACTTCTTAATTTACGTCGATAATGACATCTTCAGGTAAGTAGGAAAAGTCAGTCGATGAGGTTGTGAAGCTACATCGATTGAGATGACTAGGACATGTATTACATGTGCCCAGTCATCACCTTCCTCTATGGATAATGTTAGCTAACATGGAATAACATTGCAAAAGAGTCAGTGATTGTTAAACCAAAAAAATTTAGAATCAGACTATGACATCTTTGACAGTGAGTTTGTGCCAAGTCGGGAGGTTTAGACTGTCTGGCTGGGGTCTTCGGGATGGTAAGAACCAGAAGACTGGAGACACTTGGTGATATGGCTCGACGTCATCCTCAGTGGCTCAGATACATTTATTATCTGTGTTCCCGATATCCATTACACCCTATTTTTCTGTGTTACTGTTCCTTCTTCGTCATATCCCTGCTTATTATAGTCCTTTCGAATTTTTTTGTGTCTTTTGTCTTCCTTTGGGTGTTATATGGAGTGTAATGACTTAGACTGCTGCACTTCTATGCAAATTTCTATATTGAAACCATTCAGTTAGTCACGTCCATAATGAAATTAAAACTGGCAGTTTGAAGCTGAACAGAATAATACGAACATAAGCTACTCCGATGTTCAATGGTTCTCCTTTGACTTTTTCATTCAGGAGGTAATATTCTCTTGATACCCTTACACACTGTCTCATTGACTTTCTTGTCGACTAATACCTACTTCTTCTTAGAGCAACTTGAAGTTAAAATGAACGGTTTAGAAGTTATTCATGAGTAAAGAAAGATTCGTCTTTCTATAAATACCAAATGTCATTCAACTAGTGCTGATCATTTTATAGTTCTTCAGTGTTAATTATTTCTCAGCAATAGTAATACAAATGTTCTGAAATATGTATCTTATGAAGTAATTGACCTAACCACTAACTATTCGGTCAAATCTTGATCACAGTTCATAGTGAATAACCACCACCCTGTTGTGATCATATTTAATTCTTTTTGACATATCCCTCTCTTTCCATGACTTTTTAATTTTACCATGAATAATACTGAATATGCTGTAGCTTACAAACATCTTTATGAATAACACAACAAAATGTTGTCACCTCGTGAATTCAAAAAGGGTTATTTTTTGGATGTTAGTGGGAAAGCATATCATATAAAATGACTTAAAACTTATGAAAACAATTCGCACGATCTTAACATATGCACAACCGTCATCCGTTTTCATTGTAACCATCATTGTTGTTTACTGTCTACCTAGCTTGTTGAGTCTAACACTCAACCCTGTTCTCAAGTAGATCATATCGCCATCAGTTGACAACAGAGTATGTCCGTGCTTGACTACCACTTCTCTTTGAATACGTACTGTGGTTTATACTTTCCGCCTTCGTAATTTATCTCACTTTTGGGTAGTTATTAAAATCGTTGCTTCAGCTGATTACAATTAAAACCAGAAATAAGTGTCAAAATCAAAGCACTTTCAAGACTAACTCACTAATCTTTAAGATAGTGTAGGAGAACATTGAGTATACACCTCATCCAACAGTTGTACGATAATGCTGCATGCCAATTAATCCACAACGGGAAACTCACGGAATCCTTCGAAGTGAAGACGTGGGTAAGACAAGCTGGCTGCCTACTATCTAAACTGGATAATACGACAGGCAGTGGGAAAGGAAAAGATGGGCAAAAAATGGACCCACATAAAAACCTTAGAGGATCTGAATTTCACCGATGATATATGTCTGATTCCTCACAAACTGGAAGATATGCAAGTGAAAAGCAACAAGTTGGTAGAATAAGCATTAAAGATAGGACTTTAGGTGAACATACTGAAAACAGAGGTGATGAAAATTCCTGGACAATGGCAACAGCAACAACAACAGGCAACAATCAGCACAAATGGTGGAAATACGAAAGTAGCAACCTCCTTTACATACCCGGTAAGTATCGTTTCGACTACAGGTGGACGAAACTGATGAAGATAGATGGTGAGGATCGGGAAAGCAAGGCAAGCTCTTATTACTCTTACGTCTGTGTGGAGATCAACAGCACTCAGTATGAGAAATATGATCTGGATTTTCCACTCCAGTGTGAAGTCAATGCTACTATACGGATTAGAGACGAAGTGCACTCTGAACAAACCACAGAACTTCATCAACAGGTGTTTCCGCTCGGTGCTACTACGTAAGATCAGATGGCCAGAAAAGATCAGCAACAGGCATTTTTGGGAGTGAACCAACTCAGCAGGAACCGATTGTGCAACAAATGTGCAGGAAGAAATGGAGGTGGATTGGTCATACTCTGAGAAAACCATCAAGTGACATCACACACCAGGCCATCGTTCGAGTGGAACCCGAGTGGGAAGCGGCGGGTTAGTTGGTCGTCAGTGCGATGGTGACATGGAGGAGGTGACGTGAAGAGGAGATGAAAGCATGTGGGCAGACGTGGAGCCGGGTGAAAACGTTGGCAGCGAACCGAACGCAATGGAGACGTGCGACTGAAACCCTATGTTCCTCTAGCAACCAAAGGAAATAATACAAGCTTCTATAGGAGTGATGGGTGAAAACATTGATGGTTTGGGACGATGTTGTTCTTTTGAATGATACTCATAAATCCGAGGTGTTTGTAATTGTTTTTTTAATTTGATTGTGAGGGCAAATTTCATAACTAACTGAAATCGGTCAAAGAACCTTTTTTCTTCCTAGTTTAGAACTTAACACTTGATTTGTAACATGTGCGCCACAAGATCTAGAGGTTATGAGTTCTTGGGTTTTCAACTGTATTGAAATCACTGATTGGAGAGAAACAGCTTTACAGTTTCCGTAATTTCCTGCATCTTATGTGTCAACTTTCAACATCGAAATACTTTGATTTCAATCGAATTCTAATCATGCTTAACAACTTGATATTTTATTTTTTTAACTAAGGGGGAATCACCAGTTTTGGAACTTGATGATATAATTCAGTTGCAGTCATCCAGTAGACCTCGTCGTAAATTGTCTTCAAGTACTCCAAAAATTTCACCTGATTTGCAAACAACCCAACATGATGCTGCTGCTTCTACTACTGATCTTGACGCTCCAGACTCTTCTTCAAATGTAAGTTATAGAGTGATTGATAAAATTACAGCAATGAAATATGCTTGGAAGTATTAATGAGTCTAAGTGTGATAATCGACAAAAGTAGTAGTAGTGAATCTTAAAACTTATTATTGATAATAAAACAGAAACAATTATTTTATTATGTAGTTTTGCTGCAGTGAGAAAGTGCTTACAGTGTAGCGTGTGCTACGGACAAGATACGTAAGATGCAGATTGATAGAAAGAGGTAAAAAATTGAAACCAACATTTTAGGTCAATAGTTGCAGAGGTAGAGGGGCTTCTTTATCAAATCTAGATCTAGTTTACATTGTGGTCAGGTAAAAATCTCATTGGACAACTTTTCATCTCAGTGTTTAAACCTGAGCCAATCGTCAACCAATCAGAACAGTTTATTGTCCGCTGACCTAGTCGACTTTTAATGTGGTTCAAAATGTATAAATATTTTGTGTTTTTCCTCTGTTAAAAAGTTGGTTGCCAATTCTTTTATCGTCTGCCGTAACAACAGTACTTCGGAGTACCTTACTTTGTGTATTTAGTAAAAAAGTATTCATTAGTGTAGATTTTATTACAAGAACTCAGTAAACTGGTGAATTAAGTAGATAAGGTGGGGAAATCAACACAAAACATTGCATGTGGGTAATCCAATTAAGGTGACCATACTTTGAAACGATCTACAGACCGAAATAAGAAAAGGAATAAAACAAAACTTCAGTGCATAAAATGTAACTGTGGCTCATTGGTTTACTCGGTTGACTTTCCACCCCCATCTGCCGATCTTTGGTCAGCTAAGTAGTACCATTAGCCTTCATAGAATAACTGTGGCACATTGGCACCTACATTTTCATACAAGCGATTGTTGACTGAAAGTGAATGATATGTGAAGTTATTCATGTATAATATATATATATATATCGATAAACTAGCCCACTCATAATCCTATGTATTTTGAGTAACTTAGCAGCATGATGCTTAATTTCAGTCATGGTTGTTGGGTGATCTGACCCTTATAAAGATAATAATTTTGAGATGGCACAGAATAGGTGAAGAAGGATTGGTGACACAGTGTACAGCATCACTAAAATATAGAATGATGAATATATGCAGGTGCATGTGCAACCAAACATATGTTTCTTCCTGTGTGTACTCAGGATTTATTTTATCTCTATCGGTGTATGTATCTTTTATATTATTGGTTTCCATTTGCAAATCATCCTTATTCACTTAACTGAGAGAGGTGATCAGTTCCTTGAAAATATGTGTTGTTTTTACGCATAATCGAGATATTGAAACGTTGAAGAAAATAACTTTTAATGTTTAATAAAGGACTTCCCTTGCTGGTATGAATTGTTTCGGTAATCTATATTACTTTCTTCATATCCTCAGCTGTTCTTTTGCATGGATTTGATTAATTTCAAGTTTGATCATTAACTAACTTCAGTTATAAAAGCCATTAAAAACCAGGGAGTATTGAACAGTTGCTTTTTTCCTATTCGGGACTCTTCACTAGTACACAGAGGTTAGAATTGATGGACCATTAGTAGTGGCTGTATGGTTAATCACTTCGGCTTGTAACTTGAAGGCCCTAAGTTTGATCCCCTACGATATCATGACTGAGTAGTGCTGAGGCGTTCCCAAACAAGGACAAAACAGCTGCTTAATACTCCCTGGATTTCAGTGATTCTCTAACTGAAGTTAGTTTATCATCAGACTTGAAATACTTACACCAACAGTTGCTTTTCTTGAAGTTCATCCAATGGAAGCATATATATATATATAATGAAAACGTGCTTCAGTTGAAGTCAAATTTAACGTCTCCAGTTTTCCACTTCACTACTGTACTTTAACAGTATCCTACTATCTTTAATACCGGCGGTTTCGGTGTGTTTCTATTAATATCATATTCTCCTGTATAGTAAGACATGGTGGTTGACTTTGTCTTCTTTTGCTTCTTGAGTAGTTGGTCATACAAGTGAGGAAGAATCGTTTGTGTATTTCAATTTTCTGTATACTTGACATGTTTTCTGTATTCAAGTATTCACGCTTTCAAAATATTTGTTCGATTAACAGGTTATGTTGAAACCGTTTGAAGGTGATGCAAGTGAACACTTTCCCTCAAAGTCAACTACAGACAGTAAGTTGAGATATTTCATTATTTTCTCCAGTTATATATATTCACTTCATCTTGATGAACGTGTACATTTGTCATATTACCTAACCACTTCATAATTTAGAAGCTTTCTATTTAAACTGGTCAGTATGTAATAGCCTAAGCCACTCATAAGTCTTCATTGCTGACTGAAATCTATCGATTATTCTTGCTTTATGACTACTACATAATATTGTGATGAAGTTTCCTTTAGTATTACGGGTTATACGAGTCAGTTTTTCAGGATGCTTTTCTTAATGAAGCCTTACATCTCAAAAAGGGTTACATATATATGAGTTTCCAAGTGAATGTGATTTCATTGAAATATAGTGATACCGTTGGGCTAAGAACATGGAATACAAGATAAATTAGAGCCCACTGCTAATGGTCTGTTGTTAGATTTACACAGTTCTACGACATCGGCATTTGTAATTCATCGTCGTAGAGTTCTGTGTATTATCGAAGTTTCGTATTTGTCAGAACTCATTATTACAATGCATCCTCAATCCATGCTTGCTTGGAAACAAGAACCTTCAAGGAAAGAAGTTAGACTATCACAGCCAAAGCCACAGTGACTTTGAACAGCCAGTCATAACTCGGATGCAAAACAGTGGCAAAATTGTTAGAAACTGTTTTAAAACACATTGCAGACATGGCTTAACACTGTATAATTGCCTCTTTTGTCTTTCCATAATGTCCCCCAATCACTTCAAGGATAATCCACAAAGATATTATACCATGGGCCATTGGTGTATTAGTCCAGGTGACTGTATATCGAGTTTCTTTGGGATCCATTGATATTCCTAACACTGCTATTTAACCTAATCCTAACCAGTAATCCTAACCTTAACCCTACCTGAAGGTATAAGTCTACATAAAAAGTACTTAAGAATTAAGTAGGATACTGTACCTATCCTCAACAATTTGATTTGGAATGATGTTTTGTAGTGTCCCCTAAATCAGATTGGTTCCGGAATGTAAACTTCTGACAGACGTTGACTTTTCCCCTTCAAGTTTATCAATGGATTTCGGTTAGCGCTGAAAGCCTGGTTACCTACATCAGTAACCAATGTTCGTACTAGTTTTGTGTAAACTGTTGATCATTAATAATTTAAGAAACAGAAAGCAGCTCATCTGTCTTTACCAGTTTCATTATGAAAACCTAATCAATAGGACTAACATTCAGTTTTCCAAACGTATATAATCAGTTTACAACCTACTGCATTAGTTTGCCAGCATATATTTAAAGATTATATATATATATATATATCTGTGTATTTTATTTTTTCTATTCACTTCTTATGCATTTGTGAAACTAGATTTCCAGAGTGTATCTCCTAAACACTCTGATGTCCGATCACCATTAGGAACATCTCCACCTGCCGAACACTGTCGTTCCAGTGCATCACTTCAGGTTGATTTAAAAAAGTTAAATCATTTCCTTGATCAAGTTGTCCTACAAACAGACGGTTGGTCAGCGATACAACTGGTTGATCTATATACAGACTTTATTAATTTAATTTTATGGAAGTATGCATCACTGACAAATCGTTTGTCTTTATCAGATGTAAGTTATTCATCATATTATATATATATATATATATATATATATATAATATATATATATATATATTTCTACATGTTTCTGCTTTGGCTATTGTTTAGTATTAGTGTACAGAATGTGCATTACTTTAAGGATGCCCAGTCCTACTGTTCATTGTTTAACTTTTTGACGTGCTACTTTATCATGATGATTCTGCTTAACAATTTTTACTTTACTTAAAAGGCTTCGTGTTGGTTTACCGTGTTGCAAATGATTACTTCCACTGGCTACTGAAGTGTTCTTATTTTAATTATATGAACATGGGAACTCAATCAAGTCAGTGGCTATGCAATCGTGAAGAAGACTATGTGGGTTTCATTGTAGGAGAATAGGTATGATTATGAAATCTAGGTGATACTACTGATTGCTCTACTACCAACTGAGAGCTATACTATGAAACCTGCACACCGTAGAAATTTGAGTTTTATTTAGAATCACTGAAAAAGAAAGAAAGTTATCTCTAATGAGAATAAACATTGTCATTCATATTTCGCGTTGTCTTTTTCGTTACAGGATTTCGAGAAAATTTTCGCAACGCATCAGAACGCACCGAATACAACTTCACACGCCAACTTCTAATTAGGTCCATTTAAGTTGTTTTTAAACTTTAACTAATTAATTTCTTTCGATTTATTGTCTTTCCTTAGACGTATATATCCTCTTAGGATCATTATTATTACTTACTTTCATGGACGACTGCATCGTATTGTCGTATTAGGTTTCATCAAATAAAAAAAATTATCTCAGCTCAGGTGTTGGGAAAAAAATTTCTAAGATCTTGGCAGCTTTGTCTTGTCTTTTCAGCATCATATTATCAGTATATACTCTCATACATACTCTAGGTGTTATAATTTTGAATGCTAGTACTTATTATGTGTGTGTATGTGCTTTTCATGTGTACTTGCGGCCTACTATTGCAATGGTCTTTAATTATTTCAGCATCTACCCATGTACTTGGATTTAAATGTTTTGAGCTGCACAAAAGTCACTGTTATATTTATTATTATTTGTGTTGTCTGTGAATATTATCACTATACCATATATAAGTATAACAATCGATCTCTTTACTTTCTGTCTATCAAGAACAACTGCATTTCGTGAAAAACTTTTTATTCTTCAATTCCGATACGTGTGATAGGTGAAATTTAACTCGTCTTTTATTATTGTTGTAATAACTATTATCATCACTTCTATTATTATCATTATTAATTCTCATACAAACTTTTGATATATGTATTTAAAATTAAGATAAATGTATCTAGGCTGTTTTCTTGAAAACTTTCCAGGGTTTTTCAGATAAAAGTTAGCAATTTCTCATTTCTTTGTGTGTTATGCATGCGTTGTGCTGTGCTGTAGAAATAAAAAATTGGATTATTTTTATTGCTTAGGAAATTTTTATTCTCCGTTCATACTGGTGATATCTGTCTTCATCGTAACCTCACCCTTGTTCTTTACAATAATTTCTTCATTTTTCCAGTCTGTTTTTTTAGTACTATGTTTTTCTTAGGTATTTTGAAACTTTTATTTCAATGAATTAGTCAACGTGTCGTATACAGACATTGATGATGATAGCTTTTCTTCATGTATTATTATTGTTTTGTTGTGTATAAAGGGTGTTATTCATTCAGTATTTTTAAAGTCTATACCATACACTATTCATTGACTCAGGTACTTCCATTATCCATTGTTCAAATCAAAAGTTGGATAACAGTCAAAATATTCGATGAATTGGTTGCCTGTTGGTAACTTTGTTGTCTCACCGCAATCCTATAAACCTGAATCTATCAACTAAATGCATATTGTAGTCAGCAGTCTAAGTTACACGCCATAGCTGTAAGCTGTGTCTCAGTGTTATTCAGATTTTGCAGAATTTACGTCTCTTATGTAGTGGCATTAATCGTAGAGATGATGTACTGCCTTCAAGAAAGAAAAAACATACCTCCTGTGAAATTCGAGCCCGCATTAGTAACCGTCGAATTAGGCAACAATATCACCTGGCTATTCAGATTACCTCTAGTTTGACTGCGTGTATTATATGGTGGCTTAATTGTTGAAACTTTCTCCGGAATCATAGTCAAATGCCGAGTCACTATGCTTCCAAAATAAGCACATATAGCCTCATTTTAACTGCCATGTTTCACATGTTCACATAGAAGTACGCCGCTACATGTTGCATCTAGTTTTACCCGGTTACCGTTTTGTTTACATAAAGCCAGTGATAATATATAGGCGTAGGTAAATTCGGCTAATCTGAAAAGTTTGGTCATCCAACACTTTTCTATTATCTTACAAACTTTTTGAATATTTCAAAACAGATGTCGATTAGCCAATGTACGTTATTGAAGATCAATTGCTCGAGTATGACAAAATTCTGTCTATCTGTTTTCAACATAGAACTTTGCACTAATGTGCAGCAATTAGAGTCACCACACTCCATGTAGCACATAAAGTAAGAGAAGAAATGCAAAATAGAGACAGTAGACAGGGATATTAGACAAAAAGAATAGTAATAACGAAGAAGAATATAGTTTCATTGGAAATTATAAGTCACAATGAGTGGATACATCTGCGCCATTGACAACGATTTTGAGCCATATCACCGATTGTTTCCAACCATTGGTTTCTACTGTCCCGAGGACCCCAATCAGGAAGTCTACATCTTCCTACGTGGCTGGCTTAAACTAACTGCTTTGGATTTCATCCACTGATGCCTCCATATTTGGGTTTGACCATAACTAGCCCTTTTCCAACCTCGTCCACCTTATGTCAGCTAACAATTCTCATTATCGAGGAAGACTATGGCTAGGCATGCGTAACACATGTCCTAACCATTTCAAACGATGTAGCTTCACAACCTCGTCTATTGATTTCCCTTCCTTACCTAGCACTCGATGCCTAACCTCAATATGGCCCGCCCTATAATACCATTAAGCATGGGAGGTAGAACGCAGGCACTTATAATCAAAGAAAGCTAGTCTTGTCATGTCTTCCACTCTCAATGGCCAGATCTCACAGCCATAAAGCAGGACTGCTGAGCAATACACACGTCCTTTGGTCGATAGCCGAATACTACGTCTACGCCGCAGACGGTGTAAACCGGCATATGCGAAACTAGCCCTCTGTATCCGTGCAGAGATTTTGTCAGCGATCAACCCGTTGGGGCTGATGCAACTTCCCAAATAAGTGAAGCGGTCAACGTGCTCTACCACTTCACTTCCTATTTCTAAGCTAGAAGTCAGTGTAGTCCAGCCCTGTAGCATCACCTTACAGTTAGCGGGAGCGAATCGCATGTCAAACATTAGCAGACTGCAACTCAAGGCATTCAGAAGACTCTGCATTTTCTCAGCGTCTTCACCTAGAAGGACTATATCATCTGCATATTCTAAGTCAAAGAGATTATTCCCTGATGGTAACAAGTCAATCCCTAAGTCGCTGAAGTCAGCAGTACATCTATGATAAAACTGAATAGAAATGGGGACAGTGGGCATCCTGGATGGACACCACTAGTTGTCACTACTTCAATTGATAACTCACTGTATGCTATCACCTGGCTGCATGAGTTCGAGTAGAGTTCCTTGATCAATGAGATGTATTTTCTCGGCATTCCTTTCACAGCCAAGCATCGCTAGAGTACCTCTTGGTCAACAGAATGGAATGCTGCCTTTAAGTCAAGAAATATAACAATTGTTGGACGCCGATAATTATGTCTATGCTCCAGAATCTGTCGCAAGGTGAAGATATGATCAATACAACCTCTTCCTGGTCTAAGGCCTGCCTGGTTCTCTCGTGTTTGTGCCTCCCGAGTACCACTTAGTTTACGCATTATTATTGAATCTAGAACTTGAGATACCATATTAGTCAACCTAATCCCCCTGTGATTATCACAAGAGCACTTGTCTCCCTTCTAGTATATCGGGATAATCAATTACTTAAACCAACCCGACGGGACTTCCTCTGATTCCAAGACGCTGCCTAGTACCTTAGTTACCGCAGACAGTAAACTGTCTTCATCGTTCTTAAATACCTCTGGAGTCATTCCATCAGGTCCTGCAGCTTTGCTTCGTTTCAGACTAGTGACAGCTTTAGTAATCTCATTTAGGGACGGAGGACCTGTGTCTATATCCCATTCAGGGAGGTGTGGGATGTTTGGTAATTTGAGCGTGGCTGTAGGCCCATTGAACTGCTCCTCAAAGTGTTCTTTCCAACGTTCTTGTCGTCTATCCTGGGAGCTAATGATAGTACCATTTTTCTCAGAGACTGTTTCACTTACCGTTTGCACTTTACCACCTGTTTCCCTGATAAGTCTAAATAGTTGTCTGGTGTTACCAATCGCCGAAGCCTTTTCCATCTCTTTCGCTTTTGTCACCATTACTTTTCACGGTCGTTACGAAGGCTTCTGGTTAGTTTGCGCTTAAATAGCTTTCGCTTCTCATCGTATTCGGAGCTCACCGGAATCAGTCAATCATTTCGGATGAGGCGGTTGAGATCCAATAGCTCTTGCTAACTTTTGGTTTTAGGTTATTAACAGCTTTTATGGCTGTGTCTACAGCTAACTGTATGTTGTGCCAAGCTACTTCAGGTGAAGTCCTGCTGTTGACTATTAATTTTGTTGTTTTTTTATGTCAAAATTAACAGTCAACATCTTATTTGCCACCACTCGGTGGTAATGTATCTTTTGCAAATTATAGTTCTATGCATTAGTGATTAGCTCGAGTAACAGACACTTTTTTGAAGTGATACGGTTAATTAGCCTACATAATACTGTCAAGGGTTTAACATCAGTTATTTTCGGGAACACAATATATACCATCTTAAGTTATCATTTTTTGCTTACTAGTCATGTTTACTGAATTTCGGTTTACACAGTCCTATACGACTTCAGTACTTTACGAAAGACTTAGGTTATTCCATCAGACTTTCTACATTGAGAATAACGAAAGCGTACGAATTACAAGCACTGAGAAACCTATTCTGTCCACAAGCTTTTTAAAAACTCGTACTTGTAAACATGTTTTCTTCATTATATATTAGAGCAAGAAAAATCAGGTTGAAATGCATGCGCCTTTGTACGTTAGATATACATAATTCGTTATGTTAACATAAGGAAAAAACAAACGGATCAAAAATATAATCAACAGATCGATGAAATTTTAAACATCAATTCCTGGGTCATCCAAATCATTATACGATATCATACTACGTTCACCTGAACCGTATGGACGTCTACAAGAGAAAATAAATATATAAATTAATGTAGAGAGAAATCAGTGGATATGTTTTAAATTTAGGGGCCACTAACGTTAATTTCAGTTAAGAGAATGCATATTAATATGCCCATCGTGATATTATCATTTGTGACTAAAGTATATACTAAGACAATGTATGCTGCTAAGAAATGATGATCAGGAAGAAAGTAGTAGACCGCAAGCGTTGATACCAGTCACGTGATTTAACGATAGTAATATAAAATTCACCATATTTCTACCCAATATTGGAAAGTAGGAATAAAAGTCAGTAGTGCATTTTTGAGATATATATGAACAGAGTAATTGTATAATTGTATGTTGCTTAAAATGTAT